GGTTGTGGACTTGTGGATTCTGTGTTATGCTGTTGAGAACTACATACACATGTACTGTTAGCCTGTTAGCTCGGTTGAGTCAGTCATGTCGTTACGCGTTGTTGGTAAAAGGCCACACGTCGTGCATTTAAGGTTAATATACTCGATTTGTCAGAGAGAGAGAGAGAGAGAGAGAGAGAGAGAGAGAGAGAGAGAGAGAGAGAGAGAGAGAGAGAGAGAGAGTTCGGAGAGAGAGAGAGAGAGAGAGTTGGAACAGAGAGACAGGAGAGAGAGAGAGAGAGAGAGAGAGAGAGAGAGAGAGAGTTTGGACAGACAGGAAGAGAGAGAGACACACAGAGAGAAAGTGAGAGAGAGTGAGATGCAACGGACAGAAAAAGAGAGATATGAGAGAGGGAAATAGAACGGACAGAAGGAGATGAGCAGAGAGATAGAGATAGAACGGACAGAAAGATGGGCAGGGGAGAGAAAGAGAGAGGGGGAGGGGTGGTGGAAGAGGAGGGGCATCGGTAGTCGGAAGCGGACAGGGTAAGGGAGGAAACTGTTCGTTCCACATATTCTTAAGCGACTTTCAATTGATTTAAAATTGCAATTTATGTTTGTGCTATCCAACTCAAGATCTTCATATAACGCTTTACTCAGTTCCACCCAGACAGCACATTTTTTTTCTCCACGCCAACATTCAATTATGACATGCAGTGTACACAGCTCGCCAGTCATGGACCGTTTATCTTTGAATAGCCACAATCCTGTGCACTTTTACTGTACAACGCCTATAAGGGTGGGTTCTACGTTATCGGCCCACGCCCACAAAGCTAGCAAATATGTGTATTATCATTTTATAAGTAAAGTGCACATCATCTGTTAAATCAGAGCCCATTCAAGGTTATGCTTGAGACGTCACTCATGTCTGTTTTGAGTTACCCTGCCATGACAATAAAACATACACCATATTGTATAGGACTCCGCCGGTTGTATACATGCTCTAACTAAATTTAGGCACGAGACTGATGTATAGGTTTTACCTTACCTTTTACCTTAACAAAGAGGATGCGTTTTCGAGATCGAGAAGTGTTCAACAGTATCTGTTCCTACACACAATCAATAACACGGTTCACATATCTCGGAATAGGGAAAACCGATGGGAAACATCAAGAACAAACAACAAATAAGAGTTCACTTCAAGTTTGGAGCATCGTTTACTAACGTCAAGATAAACAAGCTAAGAGGTGAGGTGAAATTGGGTTTAACGTATTTCGCTCATATGACGACGTGCATGCGTGTGTATGTGTATGTGCGGCTGCTTGTACTAGCCCAGACTGAAGCTGGTTTTATAGTGCTAGCCCACTGAGATACCATGCCGCAGTGAAGCATGAATACCCCACTCAGACACATTATACTGACTCCGAGCCGACCAGTCCTTGTTGTACCCATTAATGCCGAGCGCCAGGCAGGGACCAACAAGTACCATATTTTAACGTCTTTTGGTATGACGCGGTCGGGGATCGAACAATGACCTTCCGCTCTCCGGGCGTACGCTCTAACCACTACACCACGGAGGCGGTCAACAAGCTAAGAACAACTAAAGATAAAACGGCGAGCAACCCCATCTGTGAACTCTGTAATTATAACCTTAATGAAGACGAGACCCACGACTGTTTGTGACAAGTATAACCAAGCCAGAACTCTATATCTACAGAAGCTACAATCAATCTACAGAGTCCCACTAACCATTCAGGCAAATTTCATGTCTCAAAACATTGATGTACAGCATCTAACAGTTATGTTTCTTTATCAAATATTTAAAATAAGATCTGTATGAAATTCAAATGTTTATGATCACGTGTAATTTATATTGTATATGTCAACTTTATTATAGGCCTTATGGCCCAAATGCTGCTGAATTGACTTCTGTTCTGTTTTGAATAGGGACACTTACCATTGTGACACAGAGCAACTGATAAATATTTATTACTTTATAAGCTTAAGGCTATTCCAAAGTTTGCAAGGAACACATTATCATCTCATTGAAATTCTATGCATTTTGTAAATAGTCAAGTCAGCGTTTCTAACATATGCATGACGGTTCGATATCAAGGCAGTTTCTGAATAGGCAAATCTATGTTTGCAACTCATGCGTATCGGTTCGATATCAAGGTATTTTGTAAACACATAAATCAACGTTTGTAACGCATTCGTAACGGTTCGATATCAGGGCAATTTGTAAATAGGAAATCAACGTTTGTAACGCATGCTTAACGATTCGCTTAACGATTCGATATCAAGGCAGTTTGTAAATAGGAAATTAACATTTGTAACACATGCTTAACGATTCGATGTCAAGGCAGTTTGTAAATAGGAAATTAACGTTTGTAACGCATGCTTAACGATTCGATATCAAGGCAGTTTGTAAATAGGAAATTAAACGTTTGTAACGTATGCTTAACGATTCGATATCAAAGCAATTTGTAAATAGGAAATTAACGTTTGTAACGTATGCTTAACGATTAGATATCAAGGCAATTTGTAAATAGGAAATCAATGTTTGTAACACATGCATAAAGTTCGATAGCAAGGCAATTTGTAAATACTCAAATCAACGTTTGTAAACAGCCATGACAGTTCGATATAAAGGTATTTTGTAAATAGGCAAGTCAAGGTTTGTTACACATGCATAAAGTTCGATATCAAGGTTGGTTAATTTTCTGAGTTGCATCCCTTGAACACGGATCCGAGTTCCTATTTCAGAATCTCCCCAAATCTGCAAGATCTTATGGTTTTCAACTGCATCACATTTGTAATGCCAAAAAACGGGACAGAACCCTATGATCCTTGGTTCGCATCCCAGATTCACCGTTATCATGGTTGCTCTGTCAGTACCATACCAGTGCTCACGTGCAACTAAACTGTTTAACGTCTTTGGAATACATGACTTGGTAATTTTCCTCACATCAGGCCGTGACAAGAGCTGCCACCTACAAAAGTCATGTCTGAATGGGTGCATGAAAGAATCTGTGATATAACTGAAGTTCAGCTCAAAGGGGTGTTAAATATGTGTGAGGGGTAATTGAAGCCTTTAAAGCTTAAGTTGTCATAAGCGTGTTCTTTTCTGTAACAAGAATGCGGTTCGCAAACAGAGCTGGATAGTTACTTTGTACAATGAACGATCGACCTCGACCGAGTGACCATTATCTGAAGCCGGTGGTGCGTGATAAGACACCCTTGGATGAACAACACGGCCTGTGCCATTCAACTAGTGCCTATATTGGAAACCCCAAAGAGAAGAACTAAGTGCACTCTATCCGCCTGATCCAGAATGTGTATTGGGTGGCTGCAGCGGAATCTTCTCCTTTCTCCTCTGGATATAGCGGGGCGACCCGTGAAGATCTGGGTTGGAATTGGTCTTCAGCAACCCATGCTTGTCATAAGAGGCGACTATAACGGGATTGGGTGGTCAGGTTCACTAACTTGGTTGACACATCCTATCATATTCTTAAGCGACTTTCAATTGATTTAAAATTGCAATTTATGTTTTTGCTATCCAACTCAAGATCTTCATATAAAGCTTTACCCAGTTCCACCAAGACAGCACATTTTTTCCTCCACGCCAACATTCAATTATGACATGCAGTGTACACAGCTCGCCAGTCATGGACCGTTAATCTTTGAATGGCCACAGTCCTGTGCACTTTTACTGTACAACGCCTATAAGGGTGGGTTCTACGTTATCGGCCCACGCCCACAAAGCTAGCAGATATGTTTATTATCATTTTATAAGTAAAGTGCACATCATCTGTTAAATCAGAACCCATTCAAGGTTATGCTTGAGACGTCAGGGCACTAACTTGGTTGACACATCCTGTCACAATTGCGTAGATCGATGCTCATGCAATCGATGATTGTCTCTGGTCCAGACTAGATTCTTTACAGACCGCCGTCATGTAGCTGGGATATTGCTGAGTCAGCAAACAGACAAACTGACAACCAAACTACAGAATCCCCAAAATAGGATTATGCTGGATGTGGTTTTGAAACAGTATTCACTTTAGCTGTATCTTTGTATTGAAACTTGTGGGATGATTAGCCTAGTGGTAAAACTGCTGTCCCATCAAGGCAAATTCCAGGGTTCGATACCCTATGTGAGCAGATTGTTCCGGGATACACCTTGGCACCAGGTCGCTAGCAAGGGTAGCTGGTGTTCAGCAACCAATGCCTGACTAACGGCATCGGGTGGTCACATTTGCTGACATAGGTCATGTATGTCACGTAGCCCGTGCTCAGATCGAGGCGCATGACGCTAATCACTGGATTTCTGGGCCAGACTCGATTATATACTTACCTCCGCCATGTAGCTGGAATAACAGTGTTAAGCAACAAACACACACAAACAAACAAGCACTTCAGGTTAAAGTGCATCCTTGTTATTTGAGGCTTGTTTTTTTTCAAAAGGCTCTAATGCTAAACAGCAGCATAACCTGTTCATCGCTGATCCTAGAAACAATGAAACAATGTTCACGGATGTTATCGATTACTGCGTCGCCGGAACACGGCAGATCCCGTCACACCGGTTTTTCGGCGTACTTTAACAAACTCATTCATTATAAATATATATTTGGCACATGTCAGACAGATGTAAAAGTTCAGTAATAATCAATTCCCGCATTACTATAACCTGCTTGACATGCGGGTGACTGGAACGCACAGTCAAGGAACGACATACCTACAAGCGTCGCTTTAGTCTTAAACCACTGATGCTTGCAACATTCACTCTTGGGCATAGCGTCTGACAATGCTGCCTTGTCTGTGTATTTCTTGTAATGAATACGAGTTAGTGATGATTCACGGTGTACTGCTCGCATTGTTTTTTATATGTTGCTATGGTAACGTACTCATGACTACACAGGTGAGTACATACATGCATGAGACGTTGTTGGTTGCGTTGCTGGTAATGAACCAGGAAGTAGAGTGTGTCTGGCGGATGAACTGAGGTAAAATGGGCTCATCGCGGCTCTTATTCCACTTAAACCGCGACACGCAATCATGTGTTTACGTGTGTCTGTTGGTACTGGTTTGGGCCAATGGTCGTTTTACAGTGCCAGTCTACTGAAATGTAATGCCTCTGTTCAACATGGATACCTCACCAAGAGTAATCCTTTAATGCCGAACGCCGGCCAGAGTGACAGATATCCCTACACATTTGGTATAACGCTGCCAGGGATCGAACCGCAGACCTTTGGTTCTTTGATCATCCGCTGTACCACTGGAGGAGCTGTTACGCAGAGTGTTGCTGAGCACGACCAGATTCAACGTGACTGGATGTAACATACCTTTGGAAATCGCATGTGGTGTGGACGTGTGAGTGTTTTCAGTTTAGTGTGGGGCAAAGATCGATATCATCTGATTATGTGTGTTCTGTGGATGTCAAACAAGTAAAGTGAGTGAGTGGGTAGGGTTTGACGCCGCTTTGAAAGTATTTTACTTAAAACTTACAGTTAGGTTAATTATGATAAATACCACATTGACGAGCACAGGTGTGAATTTGGCAGATATCGAATGATGACGAATATGGGATTCAAACTCACGTTCATCATATGCTACCAAGGGATAACAGGGGGCGGTAGGGTAGCCTAGTGGTTAAAGCGTTCGTTCGTCACGCCGAAGACCCGGGTTCGAATCCCCACATGGGTACAAAGTCCATTTCTGGGGTCCCCCGCTGTGATATTGCTGGATTATTGCTAAAAGCGGGGTAAAACTAAACTCACTCACTCACTCACTCACTCACTCACTCACCAAGGGATATCATATGTTACCAAGAGTGTTGCCAAGGGACACAACTCTAGAAGACTTTCTCTTTAACTTATTCTTCCGGGTTGTTTCCGTCAGCTACGGCATAATTCAACATTCACTCACTACAACACTCCCACCTCAATGATGTGTGTAACTAGTGTGTCAATAGGCATGTGTTGTTTGTAACGTGTGACTAGATTTTCATGTGATGTGAAACTGTAAATGCTTAGTTTTACTCACTAAGTTAGTGAGTGAGTTTAGTTTTACGCCGCACTCAGAAATATTCCAACCATATAGCGGCGGTCTGTAAATAATCGAGTATGGACCAGACAATCCACTGATCAACAGTATGAGCATCGATCTGCGCAAATGGGAACCGATGACATGTGTCAACCAAGCCAGCGAGCCTGACCACCCGATCCCGTTTGTCGCTTCTTACGATAAGCATGGGTTACTGAAGATTAATTCTAACCCGGACCTTCACGGGTAGTTTACCACGTACGTTGTAGATGTATGTGAAATCTTAGGTTGTGAAACACAGCGACGATCGAAGTGTGTTCTGTGCGAATAGACATAGCATATGATAATATCATGATGGGACTTACAGGGTAAACAAGTTATCTTTTACATTTTAATAAATCTTGCAACAGCCTATTTGTTCGCCAGGCAATTCATTTGTATCAACAGTTTGAAGCATATTTAGTATTTGCAGGATTTACTGTGTCATTTAATGTGGTCGGTTCATTTTCCTGTTAAATTCGGTGCTGATAGTAGTGAATGACTTGGGCTGAGTTTGTGTCTTGTTGAAGGCCGTGTGGATTTGTTTGTTGTATAACATTTCATTTAGCAACAATAAATCTGTTTAATGACGGCCTTTAAATGATCGAATCTGGACGAGACAACAGAGTGAGTGAGATCATGAACAACTGACACATCTGTGGTAGGAGGATCCGGTGATTTGCATCAACCAAAACAGCGAACCTGACTACAAATCTTTGTGTCTTTGATAGAAGGTTTCTAGATCAATTCTCACCACGTGTATCTATCCATTATCACATGTCATTACACGTGTAAAGATATGTAGGATAATGAATGTATGACACTTGTGATATAAACTGATTTATAAATGTTCAAGCAAAGACACAATTTAAGGGTTGTACCTCGTCTCTCAGACCCTAGAGAATAGATTTTATAGGAGTCCTACTCAAGTCCAGACTGATAAGGCACATGTAGATTTCTCTGCTTTAGAAATTAAATATTGTTTTAGCCTCCATTTAGATTTGTTTTGGAGATGAATATTTCTTATATTACAACATAAGATAATTTTATTTCTGTGATTAAATGTCAGTATGTTCGTCGCGTTGGTTGCCGAAGGCCAATTCTAACCCGGATCTTCACTGGGTGATGGTATAAATTGCTTATTGACATCATCAAAGACATAAGGTAAAGTAACACATATCCTGATTTGCTTGAATGAATTGCTCGTTCTGTTCGAGGAAGTTTCAAAACATTTACACTATATAATTAATTTGTTTCAGAAACTATAACCACTGGAAATGGATAGCGGTAGTAGAACAATTGGAGGTGTGAAGCTGGGTGAGTATGTATATTGATGCGAGATGTTCCCTCTCACTCAAAAGGATAATTTTGGTATTGAAAGTGTTCGACAATGGCCAAAATGTACAGTTTAGTAATGGTAAATATAGTGAGATATATCAATATTAAAAAGCTAGATTTCGAACCTTGATTTTGACGTTCATAGTATGATTGTCTGTATTTTAATTTTTATTCGTAAGACCATGTTCAGGAATTCAAGAGGATTGATGAAGGACTTCAAGGGAAGGGTGTCAGTCCAGATCCCACATTTCTAAACTGTCTTATTTATTTGTTTTTGTTTCACTTGAAAGCATGTTAGCATCTCATAAATTGTGTCGCTTTATTACACTGCATTCTGAGAATGCACACGATCATGTTGTGTATATAACTGTGGCGGTCCGAGTTGTCGAATGGTCATAGTGAAAAGTTGTGTTCCTTATGCTGGCAAGGATCCGCTTGCTGAATCACAGGTTTCGTGTTGGTGTATAAGCACTATCTCAGTGCTCAAGGACTCGGTCGCAGTGTTTCCGATTTCCAGCTGTCTTTAATCTGTCATTTAGCCACCCTGTGTTATATAACTGACTGACTGACTGAGTTTGGTTTTACGCCGCTTTTAGCAATATTCCAGCAATATCACGGCGGGGGACACCAGAAATGGGCTTCACTCATTGAACCCATGTTGGGATTCGAACCCGGGTCTTCGGCGTGACGAGCCAACACTTTAACCACTAGACTACCCCACCACCCCCTGTGTTATATAATGTCAGCGTTGCGTTGAACCGTATCACTCATGAAATCGGATCAGCTGTTTTATAGACGATTATGATGATACGAACCTCTGCATTAAAAGTAGTAAGACCAGTTGTGATATACATGCTAGGCATTTTACGGTTTAGGGGAGTGAGTCAGCATATATCTATTGAATACCACTGCAGTCGACAACAACCTCGAATCGGCAGCTTTGTGTTAGCAGAGCGGGGCTTACGACAATTCAGCTGTGACCCACACCGTTCGCAACGATCCATGTTGCTTGGGTACGATTGTACTCACCGATGTAAGCCTCAGTTCAATGGGCTGTCATCCACGTACCAGGTGATGAGTGAGTTAGCCTGGTTTGACGCTGGGGGCGGTGGGGTAGCCTAATGGTTATAGCGTCCGCTCGTCACGCTGAAGGAAGGCCCGCATTCGATTCCCCACATGGGTACAATGTGTGAAGCCCATTGGCGTTCCCCCGCCGTGATGTTGCTGGAATATTGCTAAAAGCGGCGTAAAACCTACACTCACTGGTTTGTGCAGTGTTTAGTCATATTACGGTGTGTCAGTTTGATGTGAGGACTTGATTCAGATCTCAGTTCACCCACGTTGCAAGGAAACTTAATCAGGGTAAATCTTGGGATTCGAACCTACAATCATATTCCTGGGACGCCTAACTGACGACTTGGGCATCCGCACCCTGCCGACACTGGATCACACACAAGAGGGACGGACAGACAGACAGACAGACAGACAGACAGACAGGTGGACAGACAGACAGACGGACGGACGGACGGACATTTTACTGAAGTCTCACCTTAACATTTGATGCATAAAACTATACACATACTTACTTCAAAATATCGCGCAATTCCATACGGAATTACGAGAGACTTTGATGTATAAAACAAACTATAAACAGTGAATATTACATAAAAACCAAAACAATTACATTACAGTACATTCAGCAGGAACAAACTAAATGACAGCACGTGGTTTATAAGATATCATGGCAGGTTTTGTCAGTTAAATGGGGCAGTTCAGGGAATGACAATATAAAATTAACCTTATTATTATCGTTAAAGGATATAAAACCTTCCTCAAATTATTTACTATTGTCAAAAAGATGAACACGACAGGGGTAATCGTGCAGTGATCCTTAAGCTGGTATGTATTTAGCATCCCAACAATATCCCCAGATCCAGGAAGTTTCACAATTCATCAAATGTTTTCTCGGTCTTCCAGAGACAATCGTGTACATTGGTATAGCTGCTGACATTGTCCTGGCTGTAGTGGTGGGTGTTCTCATCGTCTGGTGGAGGTAAGTTCTTTTCTAGTACCCAAATGAGAAGGAAGGAGATCTGTTGAAATGGTTTCAGTGTATTCCCCGCATCTATGGAAGCTCGACATATGGACACTCGTGTAATCTTGACTTGATATTCGTAGTAAGGAACAAACTGGATGTGTGTTTGAAGATATTATGCTGAAATTAATACAAAATACAAATGGCTCCAAAAAGCTTCCTTACAATACACATGCCTATCTATGGATGGCCCTAAAAGGCTTCCGTACAATGCATCAGCATTCTCAGTGGGTGGCCCTGATATGCTCCCGTACAATACATCAGCATCCTCAATGGATGGCCCTAAAAGACTTCCATACAATACATCAGCATCCTCTATCGGTGGCCGTAAAAGGTTCCGTACAATACATCTGCATCATCTATGTTCAGGAACAAATCGAAGAAAAGACAGGAAGCGAAGCTGCAAGCCGCTCGGGATGCTGCGGCCGACTCCAGATCGGACTGGGCCACCGACGGGTCAGTGACCCCGCGACAGGTGGACAGACCCACTGGCCAGGACCAAGTCAACCATCGACTAGCTTCGGAGCGAATGGTTTCCCGGTCAGGTAAGTGGAACTGAACCGTTTGTTTCATACACTATCAACAATGGCTTATGTAGATGCATGGTGCTCCCAGGTCTGTGATCGGCAAACTGGAAAATAAACTAACAGACCATTCGGTGTACGGAGACTGAATATCGGTTTAAGATGTTGAGCCTATACAATGCCTCAGCACCCCTTGGGTATTTTTCGAGACTATGCATAAAGCAGATATTTGATTTTATATCCACATTAGCTTTACGGAGAGTCCCTCATTCCATCAAACCTGGTTGTAACAGTTTCTTAACGATTTTGGCCAAATATGACAAAAAATTACGTTTGAAACTAGTTCTAACGACGTGAAAATTGTACTGTACACATTTCACTAGAAGATCTATGCAAGTGTGATTCCTTTATATTAGACAGTAAAGCTCGATAAACAGCCAAAAAATTGGTCATTATTTCTAAGTCACTTCTCCTATCTTCCAAATATTTTGCGTTCATATTGTCAATGCTATAGTTAGCACAATAGTGCAACCTTTGTCTGGAATAGACAGCTCTTGACATAAGCGGTCGACGAATGTCTTTAACAAAGTAATGACGGACCACACTATTAACACGTCTCCAGATTTGAACTTGTTTAACATGAAGACCTGATGTGGGGTCTATAACGTCGTTATCAATGGTTTAAACATATTTGGGATGAACGTTGCATGACAATTGCATCGCTCGTTGTTCAGTTCAGTCACTAAAATATTGTGCTGGTCATGTTTGGGTCCGTCATCAGGAAAATCTATAATATGGATATTCCAAATAATCTTCCAAAGCTATTTTAGGGTGATAATTTTCTAGTGCATCGAGACATGCGAATCTCGGGCTCCAAACATGGCCGTTTTCAAAACGGAGCAATGGCGTGGTCTTTGCAATGCATACCCTCGAATGAAGGTGAGTATAGTAGCTGCCGTGTTTCTTGGACTACGACTAGGACTAGGACTAGGTATGGGTATAGGAGTAGGTTTGGGCCTAGGCCTAGGTATAGGGGTAGGTTTAGGACTAGGTATAGGTATAGTAGTAGGTTTGGGACTAGGCCTAGGTATAGGGGTAGGTTTAGGACTAGGTATATGTTTAGCAGTAGGTTTAGGACTAGGACTAGGTGAAGGTATAGTAGTAGGTTTGGGACTAGGACTAGGTATAGGTATAGTAGTAGGTTTGGGACTAGGACTAGAAGTAGGAGCAGGACTAAGACCAAGACTAGGACTAGGTCCAGGAGTAGATCAAGGCCTAGGACTAAAGCTTGGGAAACTAGGAGTAGGGCTAGGTCTAGGTCTAGATCTAAGTCTTGGTCTAGGGCCTTCTTTAGGACTAAGACAAAGACAGGACTATGACAAGGTAAGACCTTTTGTTTTTTGACTTGTTTACACTTAACTACATTATTCTTTTGAAATAAATCAGGTAATTGTGTTTAACTACATCAAATTGGGACTGTCCCGAGGTTATTTCCAATATTTCCAACATATCCTATTTAATATGTGTACCCAGTGTGGAATAATGTTCGACAAGCATGACATCGTTATAATTGCTCTTGTCAGTTGATAAGCGTATGTTTAAATTTCCCTTGCAAGTATACAGACATGGCTGTCTGTCGTCGTACAGGAACCGTTAAACATTGCCGAAATAGTTTGTGATGTGTATACTTTGATTGGATTTACTGTGTTAGTAAGTATAGCTGTAAGCAACTTAATATGCTAACATATACGTGTGCCATTAGAGAGACCTGCTTATAGACGTACTCTAATTTATCCTGCAGTTCTTAGGAAACTAGTCGCTTGTTTTTCTTTTCTTGTGTCCCCAATTAGAATAACGTAAATAATCAAATAATATCAGTGTGTCTTAGCTTTCATTGAGAGGACGAGAGGTCAAGGTGTAAATATGATAATTATGTAAATGTGATTGATATGTATTTAATCTAAAGGTTCGTAAATAGACCACTGAACCCATTCACATCCACATCTAAATCCTTGCACAGGACCTTCTCCACCCATACATCAAGACTAGTGGGTCCGTTTTACGCTTGTCGTAAAAGGCGACTAACGGGATCGGGTGGTCAGGCTCGCTGACTTGGTTGACACATGTCATCGTATCCCGATTGTGTAGATGCATGCTCTTGATGTTGATCACTGGATTGTCTGGTAGAGACTCGATTAGTTACAGACAGCCCCCATATAGTTGGAATATTGCTGAGTGCGGCATTAAACAACAAGCCAACAAAACAACCGTTATATGAACGGGTCGACACATTCTTATCTTTGCTTACATTAGTTTGAATAATAAAATCGGCGATGGGATTGAAATTATCAAACAACAGCTGTCTACACTCAGCTGATAACTTGTTTGCCCTGTAATATTATTCCATCCATTTCAGGTGTGAAGGAGGATTTCCAATTTCTCTAACAGAATATGGCTAATATAGTAACTGTCTTGTATCTCGTTATCACCTAGTACTTTGCAACATGTATCTTATAAGTGTGATTATATTAAATATTGCTGCAATCAGATGCAGCATTATTTCATTCGGAGACCTATCAATCTCCTTTCAAAGATTGCAATTCGTTAAGGTACCTGTAATGTGAACTCACTGAAAATAGATTATAGTTCTAACTTTCGGGCCGGTTGGGAACCTGAGTGGTTAAAGCAGTTTTCGTCACGCCGAAGACCCGGGTTCGATTCCCTAAATGATTACCATGCTTGAAAGCCATTTCTGGTGTCCCCCGTTGGGATATTACTGGAATATTGTTAAAAATGGCGTCAAACCTTAATCACGCACTCACTCACTCTAAACTTGGCAGAAAGATTAAGACGCACATATCAACTGAGAAACAAAATACTTTCTTTTTACATACTTTTAGACAGAAACCGCCTGATCAAACAATTCTTAAATTCTGATCTGTGTACGTGAAAGATCTTTTGGATCTTAGAAATAGCTTTCACAAATCAGATATTAATTTTAACTTGCTGTTTTTATGTTTGTAGTTCGTACAGAATACACAGACGTGGAGGCAGACTTCGGGTTTCTGGACGACAACCAATCAGGGAAGAGTCAAACCAGCGGCCGCGTGGTGTCTGGACCTCCACCCCACGTGGTCGGCGCTTCAGAAACACGTGTGTCCTTTCACGACGTCGTCAACTCAGAAGGTCAAGGAGGCGGCGCGTACACGGTAGCCAATGATGAGAGGGTGGTGCATAACCCATTGTCAGGGTCCCGTAAGATTGTGGGCACTTTTGAGGAAGAACCAACAGATGAACAACAAGTAGCAAAGTCGGTTTATTACACCTACAACGACCCACCAACGCTCCAGCCATCACGAGACGACCATGCGGAGGCTTACGAAACAGGTGTGTCATCTCCAGAGTACAGTCAACCACAGCAGACTTCATCAACTTATGAGAGGGAAGTTGAGGAGAGGCACGGGCATGCTGTTGTCAGCGAATCGGTAACATATGTTGAAACCCGTAAGGAGGAAGAAACAGATGAACACCATGTAGCGAAGTCGGTTTACTATCATGCAGATGTTGATGAAACTGGTGCCCCACCATCCCCAGATTATCTTCAACATCTTAACACTTCATCAGCTTATGAGATGGAAGATGAGGAGAGGCACGAGCATGCTGTTGTCAGGGAATCCGTGGCATCTGTTGACTCCATCCCTGCGTCACCACCACCGCCGCCTCCACCTCCACCACAGCAAGTGGAAGAGGCGGTATTTGTGCATGAGGAGTTGAGGACATCGACCACCAACCACTACTCTACCCTTGACAGCCATGTCAAGGTCGTTCAAACGGAAGGCGATGAGGTCCTGGTAAGCGACATGTCAGAGTGGGCCAAGATGAACTTTGGTTACGAGGAGCCTGAAAAACGTTATATCATTCAGCTTGAGGAGTGCACGGAGGTCATGTGAGATACTGACTCAATGAACATTATGGTCAATAACACTTATATACTCTTTCAAAAAAGTTGCGGAACGTCAGTTGTAATTTACGATTGAAACAGTTGGGAGATCGGAGTCAATCAGTGTTGATATGATCACAATGAATGTTTAGAGAGTGCATCACCACTTGCACTTCCTTATGACCATAGTTGTTTGTACAGTAATCGCTCTTGAAAGATTATTGGTGTATGACGTGAAATTTGCATGTGTACCATTTTCATTTTGAAACAAAAAAACCGGCTAGAAACAAACACTAACAGCCGTGTGATGCAAGATAATTGTCAAAATTAATGGTCTACAGTGATTTATCAACTTTCTTGAAAACCGTTAAAATCAAGAATGACACCCCATGTACGTGTGTGGGGTTATTGCGTTATGCACGTGCAACCCATGCATTGTGTTTACGGGTGGCGTTAAAGAGAAATGGTGGTGCGTTCATAAGATGCCTGTCTTTGAAAAGTTTGTTAACGCTTATACTTTCTATCCAAATTGAAAGTTCAGGTTCCCCTTCTTTTTTTGAAGAGTATATAAACCACGTCACTCCATCATACGTACGCTCCTTTCTGCTTTAACAGTGAAGTGTGTCGATATACGTAAACGAATGAAATGAGACCAGTATAACCCGCCAAAGTCAATTTTGTATTTTGGCCACATGTGATGGAGGAACGTAGCATCTGCAGGATGAATGATCATAGGTTTGAGAGTAGATGATGCTGTGTGTCCACACAGGACGGTCGTATTGCCAAACATTTGTCAAAGCGGACCCATTACGTCACAGCAAAGTAATGTCTTAGGCTACATAAAAACAATTTATTGTTTCCAAACTATGGCCCGAACCTAATTTTTGTATATATTTTTTTGCACTGGTAAATTTGCGTGTATAAAGCCGGCAGACTTCCGAAATCCGTCTCAGCTTCCGGCATTCCAAGTTTTCGACTAACATTGTATAGAAAATCAGAAACGAAATTATTTAAAAAATATAAATAAAATCCGCCCTACCTTCCCCTGTGATGAGAAAAAATGTGATCGTGATCGTGAAACTCATTTTCAGATTGTTCTTTAAAACATTGCCATAAACATTAGCACTTCTTTTGCCTGTAAATGTCTCGTCGAGATAAAGAATTTATCATGGCTACAATGTGATATCTGTGCATAAAAATGAGTTGTAGTTATCACAGAGGTAAAACAATTAAATGTACCGAATGTGTAGAACTTTATGTACTTAGAGCCGATATTTTATATTTAGATTGAAATGCAAAGTGCTTGTAGCCATGTAAACTCTTGGCAGCGTACATCTTAACAGGATATTCAGGTAACGTTGCTTCTCTGTTTGGAGTCGAAACTTCCTTGCCTGATTCCATCACTGGCGAGCGTACGTTTTCTGGTACACCGCCGTAGTGCTGAATATTATGAACGATTTATAAACGTCACTGACCAATTAATTCATTGAAGGTAAGCTAAAGATGCTTTCATGCTAAAAATTATAGTCAACTTCTGATATAATGAAGTAATGTATTGAAAAAAAAACCCGGATATACCGAACCCAACATTTGTCCCGTTGCCGCGTTAAAGGGTTCTCGTTGAGATTCTACGAGTGCCTCCAGGAATCTGGGTTTTGGCGCAGGTCTGGGACTACAAGGGACAGGGCACTACACTGTAATAACAGTGAAAGTATACCTGTTACAGTAGGGATGTCCATGGCAAAAATTCCGACATAAAATCTTCAGAGAATGAAACTTTATGGAAAAATAATATAACCTCTTGTAGATGATAATGAGGCTTTAAAGGATTGTGGTGAGAGAATACTTCAGATCAGATCATATAGCTTCCATGTAGCATATGTATACTTCGTTATTTTAAATTATAACCATGTTTGTGTATATTTGTATATGACAATTAAAAGGCCCCAGAAGATGACCTTCAGTCAACCGTTAACTGAACGCAATTCACAATAGGTGTGTTGTTAACTATCCTTGTACGCTTTCATTCTGGTTGTTGAAGAAATATCCAGCGTTTATTTCTTAAATGAGATGAATGCAGTCAGGTATTTCTGAACTTTTAATTACCAAATTATTAATTAGATTAAACAATAATAGTTCAATAGTCTATTGTGGAGATATGATATAGAACCGGAATTACAGGTAAATTTATTTTTATGTTTCTGATCAAATGCGACCCTCTCAACACCCTCATGGTTACATTGTTTTAAAATAGTTCTAGAACGGTCTGTTTTTATTTCATCATGTTATGGATCGTTTATCACTTTTCCCCACTTAGCCAATCAGGAGCAGAGCCACTTTCCTTCGGCATACCAGAGAATTTTGATCATGGGTTCAAACCCGATATAGCCCTAATTGTTTGTTCTAGGTTTGCAGCACCATACTACCATAATTGTTCAAAGCGGTGTTGACCGACTCCCGCATTAGACAATTGAAGCAAATCAGCAAAATCGCATTTTTGTACATGACATTGTGAATTCTCTATACCCTTTCAATGTGCTTTCATAATTATCTGATGTCGATTTCCTCTTACCCGAGGCTCATCTATATAAACCACACTAGGAGGTTTTAGTGTACGAGTCTTTCAATGTACATACATTAAACATATATTTCTAGATTAGTATGTAAATGTATTAGTACCCAGCTTTGGTCAGAATTTCTACATTATTTTAAACTGTAATCATGCAAAGAAATTTAATGTTTTTCTGTTCATATTATTTAAAACAAATTTTATAAACTAGCATTCGAAAGTTCTCAGGATCGACCATTCGATATTCTGACGGCTGATTATTTCGGAAAATACTAGACAAGGATGTTGATTCCCCATCTTCTGAATGGTTGCCCCACTGGCATTTGTTCAGCTAAGAGACTGGAGATATTATGTACATCCACGTTCCTCGCGATGAACCTAAAAGATATTTTATGACTTTTTATACTGAGAATAAAGATGTTTTCTGGTACTTCCCTTCATCTTTGTTGAAGACTTAGACAGTGTTAAAGATGTCAATTAGTTTAAATGACAGGAGACTGTTATTTGTTTTTAGCATCACAAATTGAAAGACAAAGAGAGCGAACATAAACACACAAGTACGGACAGGACAGCCATCAGTGGTGTACACATACAGACAACACAGACGAACAGTTCTGACAGCACACAGACAATGCAGACAAATAGTACTGGCAACACAGAGACAATACAGACAAACAGTTCTGACAGCACACAGACAATGCAGACAAATAGTACTGGCAACACAGAGACAATACAGACAAACAGTTCTGACAGCACACAGACAATGCAGACAAATAGTACTGGCAACACAGAGACAATACAGACAAACAGTTCTGACAGCACACAGACAATGCAGACAAATAGTACTGGCAACACAGAGACAATACAGACACATTCTGACAGACAGCACACAGACAATGCAGACAAATAGTACTGGCAACACACAATACAGACAAACAGTTCTGACAGCACACACAGACTGCAGACAAATAGTACTGGCAACACAGAGACAATACAGACAAACAGTTCTGACAGCACACAGACAATGCAGACAAATAGTACTGACAGGACAATGCAGACAAATAGTACTGGTAACACAGAGACAATACAGACAAACAGTTCTGACAGACAGCACACACAGACAATGCAGACAGTAGTTCTGGCAACACAAGAGACAATACAGAGACAAACAGTTCTGACAGCACACAGACAATGCAGACAAATAGTACTGGCAACACAGAGACAATACAGACAAACAGTTCTGACAGCACACAGACAATGCAGACAAATAGTACTGGCAACACAGAGACAATACAGACAAACAGTTCTGACAGCACACAGACAAGACAATGCAGACAAATAGTACTGCAGACAAATAGTACAACACAGAGACAATACAGACAAACAGTTCTGACAGCACACAGACAATGCAGACAAATAGTACTGGCAACACAGAGACAATACAGACAAACAGTTCTGACAGCACACAGACAATGCAGACAAATAGTACTGGCAACACAGAGACAATACAGACAAACAGTTCTGACAGCACACAGACAATGCAGACAAATAGTACAATACAGACAAACAGTTCTGACAGCACACAGACAATGCAGACAAATAGTACTGGCAACACAGAGACAATACAGACAAACAGTTCTGACAGCACACAGACAATGCAGACAAATAGTACTGGCAACACAGAGACAACACAGACAAACAGTTCTGACAGCACCACAGACAATGCAGACAAATAGTACTGGCAACACAGAGACAATACAGATAAACAGTTCTGACAGCACACAGACAATGCAGACAAATAGTACTGGCAACACAGAGACAATACAGACAAACCGTTCTGACAGCACACAGACAATGCAGACAAATAGTACTGGCAACACAGAGACAATGCAGACAAACAGTTCTGACAGCACACAGACAATGCAGACAAATAGTACTGGCAACACAGAGACAATACAGACAAACAGTTCCAATGAAGAGTTACATTTTCACTTTATTGTCATTAGTAAGAGAAAATGAAATGCCCTTGAAAAGGACACATTCCTTCAGCTGAATCAGTGCTCCCATTGACAAATACACCTGCCTCATTATGAGATACGGGAACTTAATGATGGTTTGTTGGTCAGCAACGGAGGTAATTGGCCACATAAACTGTTTTGAACACGAATAATTGTATATAGTTCACTCCATACTAATCATCATAACGAATGACTGCATGTATGTATAATTACTTTAGTAGACCGCGGAACACATGTACTAACCTATGTCAGCTGTACTATGGAGGTTGGGAAGGTGTAACAAGAACCTGATTAGCAGTAACCTTGATAATCCAGGGATTCAGACTTTTGGTTATTGACTGTGCATAGTAATTGAACAGACGAGGACGTGTCAGGTGTGTTAGGAAATCAATACCTGACTGATCCGTATGATAATTATTTCTCCAGGGTTATTTATGTTCTATTAATAAAACTTCTACTTCGAGAGATGAATTTGAAATGTTTGACAACAACATTGTAGTTTTCACATAAATGCTTTTTTACAAGGATGCAACTGCCTTAAAAATGCAATGTACCGTCACGATAGCGGTTGACTGACAGAGAATGTTTTTTGCGCCTCTTTTCAGTAACATTACAGCAATATCACTGCAGAGATGAGCTTTTTAAACAGACAGAAAGACGCGGGCCTATGACTAAGGGCTGGGGGGAGACATATTTTTGCGCCATAAATACAGTACTAATCATCATCACTGCAACATATGGCAAACTTCCAAATTCAAAATTTATACAAATTTAATAATGCAACCCTAAAGCCATTTCAGGTTACCATATATTTCGGTCAAATCACCCTTCTTTTGAACAAATACTAAATTGTCATGTCGGGAAGCACACGGTAAATCTACAAATTATCATTATTATCATCATCATCATCTCTGTTGATTGAACAGGTAAAAAGGAAAGATAGGTGTCTACAGCGTTGCTGCTATGGTGTCAATTAACGATCGCTAATTTTTAGGTCGCTAGTATTTATTTAGCATTTTACCAATTAAAATACCGATATCATGCTTGTTTTCGTGAAAACATTTACGGTAAATATATAATTACAGTAAGCTGACCCATACAGTTTTGCTTTAAAGAATCAGCTCGTGATTAATGCTGTGACGGTCAATGGTACCGTTAAATATCCGGACCAGTTTCTCAAAGAGGTCAGTCAGTGCTAAAGCAGCAATTCTAGTACGATCTCTTGGTAGCAGTGGCGCATCTTTTCACAATTCTTCATTTTCTGGTCAAAGCAACTGTCAGCATACTACATTTAATGACCATCAGTCCATGGAATGTGTCACTAGATTACATTTCGTATTCTTAACTTTGCATACATAAATGCATATTTGCGTCATTTAAAGGAGACACTGACCCCACAGTGATTCATCGTCGGATCTCAAGATATCGGATCTAAAGAGTCGGTTGACTGAACTCCGAGTGACTGGGTTCTAGGAGATCTTTGTAAAGTTTTCCGTGCAAGTCAAACAACATCAAATTATGACTTATCTTTCATTGTATAAACGAACAGTATCCAGACAATGCAGTGTTGAAATCATTAGTTTTTGTTGCAACAGAGAAAACAAAAATATCAGAATGTCTAAAAAATGAAATCGCCAACATTGCCTACAAGATTAATTTAGGTTGCCCACAATTTTATGATAAATATTGGAACAAATATTTATAATATAACATATGTTAATTTTGTCAATGCTTGTTCCCAAAATACAGCACCGATTCATTCTTGACCGAACATACCGGTGCGGTGGGGTTGCCCAGTGCTTAAAATGTCCACTCGTCACGCCGATAACCCAGGTTCGATTCCCCACATGGGTACAATGTGTGAAGCCCATTTCTGCTGTCCCCCGCAGAGATATTGTTGGAATATTGCTACAGGCGACGTAAAACCTCACTCACTCATTCACCCAACATGATAGTACAACGAATGTCCCCGGTAACGGCTATGTCAGATCAGGATCGACGTCAGAATACATGTAGTGCGCATTCTTCATGGTGGAAAGCCAGTCAGGAAATTGTAACCCTCTTCCGATCAACGCCACTATTCAAACACAGAAAAAGCCATCGCTTCCTCAAGGACGGAGCCCACTAGGGCTATAACGATGCCTCGAACTATCGATGGGTTGCAATTGTTGAGTCTCCGATAGCAATTAATTGATGGTAAAAACGAAAAACTATCGATGCATCGATATTGTGTGTGACTATCGATAGTTTAATAATTGACTTCTGTTGATAAATGCGCAGCACAAAATACAGGATGTTTGGGTGCAGACTTGCAGCTTCATTGAGTTTATGTGTTAACTGTTTACTTGTTCTGGGTTTCAAGTTTCTTGTCAGTAATAAAAGAGACTGTAACTAAGTAATCTTATTTTTATTTCATATAAACTATACATTCATTTGTGAAAAGACTTCAAATCAGACAATTCAAGGAAAAAAATTGCAATAGTATTCCAATAGTATGGTCGCAATAGACTATCGAATAGTTGTTTCCCCGTCAATAGCCACCCCTAGAGCCCAGTACTTCTTTAATAGAATTCATTAATTACTCCACATCTTCAGTTGATACACGAATAGTTGGAACAGCCTGGTTTTCTTCTGTCGGTTTTGAACGATTGAATGTGGAGGTGAACATCCTTTGAAGCTTATGTTTTACATCGACCGATCGGAATGCATAAATTAGTGGGTTGCCTAGCGAATTGCCCACTGCCAAAAACATTGTCACGTGGTTGAGCTCATCCCTGAGAGGCTTCCTGCCCCGGATCAGCGATATATACTTGACGGCGAAGAAGGGCCCCCAAGACAACAGGAAGTAGCCACACAGAGTAGCGAACAGTTTTGCGGCTTTGAGATGAGCTGCCAGCTGGTTGGTGCCACTGTTGCCTGTTTCAGCATCTACACGATGTCTGCAAGAAAGGGCGATCCTGAAAAAAAGTGAATTACAAATTCTTAATACGTTCCTTTCTAGTTCGTCAATACCTGTTCCGTTTGCTGGAAATCATAAATAGAGATTATCAGGGACATGACGATGTAACAATAATATCATGAACTTACCTATATATTTTGTAGTAAACGAAGGAAATAATAGAGAATGAAATAATAAAGCTACATCCCGTGGTAAATATAAAATCCACCGGCACTAGGAAGAATTCCGGACTGCACACAGAGGCATCAAAGTCTTCTCTTACTATCCCCCAAACAGGAGTAAAAGAGACCAAGAAGCAATACACCACGCTACAGGAGATGGCGATGCTGATCCGTGTGTTGTTGATGATGTTGTAGTAGTGGAGAGGACGGGTGATGAGGACGTAGCGGTCGATGCTGACGATCACAAGCATGTGCATGGATACAGACCCAAGGAAGATGGCGATGCAGTAAGAAACAAGACATGTCCAGTAGCTCCTGAAGGTTTTGTACTCTAATAGAATCAAGACTGTTCGGTTTAGACCGTACCCTAAATCCGCCACCGCCAGTGTTCCAATTATGACGTTTGTTGGGGAGTGTAGTGATGCGTTTTGCACGAGTACGACGACGACGATGATGTTGACAGTGAGGATGAAGATGACAAGAAGGTAGTTCAGGAACAGACCAAGCACAATCCACGCTGAGGCCATTTTCTAAAGGTAACAGAAAAACAAAGTAGCTTCAATTAAGTGACATTCACTTTATTTGAATATGACCGAGTATGTGTAAGTATGCCCTTCAGCTCACCATATTTGAAAAGCCAAGTGAGCAGCTGGTCGTAAACACGTAAACGTTCATATTTTCGAGATTTCTGAAGCCATAAACCTACGGTGCTCACCCTTGGCATGAATAATTATAGCATTTGTGTCCGTAAAATGTACCGACAGAAACTGAATCAAAATTTAGACATGTCCGCATTTGCAGCCATATTGGTACTGTTATGCTTGTCCAACCCCGAGATATTTCTGTTTGTATTACAATGATATGTAGTCTGTGAGGAAGTAACGGGACGTAAACTGCCCTGCAGAATATGCACAAAATATATGACAAACGTTATAAGACTTTAATATTATAAAAATGCCACAATCATAAGGTAAACAATTGTGATACCCGAACCAAATACAGTTGGTCATCACAAAGCTATGCATGCCGTAAGAGGCGACTAACGGGATCGGTTAATCAGGGTCACTGACATGTCATCATATCCTAAATCAATGCTCATGCTGTTGATGACTGGATCGTTTAGTCCTTTAGACTATCCTCAACATAATATATGGTAAATAATCGAGTAAATCATCCAGTGATCAACTTCATGACCTCGACCTACGTAACTGGGATACGATGACATGTGTCAACGAGCCTGACCACCCGATCCCGTTAGTCACCAATTACGACAAGGATGACTTGCTGAAGACCAATTCAAAAAGAAACTCATGTAGGACATCCACAATACAAACAAACTTGTGCGTTCTTAAGTAATCATTTCTCTGGCAAATGAACAACCCAGAATTTCATTGTTCTTAGACGAGGGTTGACCATGATGTCTTGAACATACATGTATCACGGATCTGGATTTTGTCTTTTTGCAGAAATTCACACAGTGCCATATATTACTGAACCTTTTGATATTTGTAGTCCTTTAGAAATATATTACAAGCTATACAAAATGGATATGGTATGTCATGTCGGAGAAATTCCCACAGTGCCATATATTACTGAACCTTTTGATATTTGTAGTCTTTTAGAAATATCTTACAAGCTATACAAAATGGGTATGGTATGTCATGTCGCAGAAATTCCCAAAGAGCCATAATGATTACTGAACCTTTTGATATTTGTAGTCTTTTAGAAATATCGTACAAGCTATACAAAATGGATATGGTATGTCGTGTCGCAGAAATTCCCACAGTGCCATAATAATCACTGAACCTTTTGGTATTTGTAGACCTTTAGAAATGTGTTACAAGCTATACAAAATGGATATGGTATGTCATGTCGGAGAAATTCCCACAGTACCATAATAATTACTGCACCTTTTGGTATTTGTAGTCCTATAAAAACATATTACAAGCTATACAAAATGGATATGGTATGTCATGTCGCAGAAGTTCCAAAAGTGCCATAATAATTACTGAACCTTTGGTATTTGTAGTCCTTTAGAAATATCTTACAAGCTATGCAAAGTGGATATGGTTTGTTATGTCGCAGAAATCCACACAGTGCCATAATAATTACTGAACCTTTCGGTATTTATAGTCCTTTAGAAATATCTTAAAACTACAAAATGGATCTTTTCAGGTTCGTCATTTTGCGAAACGTCCCACAGTGCCAAAATAAAATAATTGAATGTGTTGGCGTACTAAATATATAAAGTATACTCACAAAATAAATCGACACCCACCTCAGGTGAGACAGTTCACCAAACACCTCCAGGTCTATGTAAACCTTGCAAAGTATACAGACGTGTACAAATCAAACAATGGGCTCATCATTTATTTGGAATCGTGTATACATATGGCTTATGACTGGATCCACGTGACAAAATCATCATAATAATTGATGTGGACAATTGCTGCTTGTTTGTATTGGAAAAAGGAGCTAACATATTCATTTGCAATTATCATTCGTTATGAGCATATAACGAGATATACAATCTGCCAGAAGAGATCTTGATCGATGAAGAAAAGTCAAGGTGGAGATATGGACGCATTACATGTTATTGCTTTACTCAGAATCAAAGGAAACGTGGCCTGATGTGAGGAACACAATGATTCCAGTTAGCTGAAATTGAAAGTATTTAAAGTATATCTGACGGAGATGGTTGAAAATAATAACATGAAGATATCTCCTTTATTTTTAATTAAATCGACAAAAACCCTATCCACAATCCTAAAACACATATGCTCTTCTACTATATCATTGTCAAAAACCAAAACAATGCAAATGTTTAAAACATTTAAGAAATGTTTTTTTACCAAGATTTCAAAGGGTGTCATACTGCTCTGGCTCAGAAGTTGTTTGATTAAGATTACAACATTCAAGGCCTCGGTAAAGCTGTCAAAACGTTTTTTGGTAGACACGTGGAGGAAATTTCAAAATTTTACATTTCAGGAGCAACATTGATGCCCGATGCAATTCCCTGTTTTGGCTTTTACAGTACGTTCCCGATTTCTTTCAGGTGAACAATTGACAATTGACATGTTTATGACAGGTGCCACCAGTGGACCGGGATACGCTAACATTTTCGCGAACGGCCGGTATTATGACTATTGACAAGTGATTCATAAAGACATGCTCAGTCATCATATCTCATAGTCCTCCTGAGAAGGTTCTAAGTCCTGACACATTCAACGGAAAATTAAATCTACCAGATTTTTTAAAATGTAGTATTTTTGTAATTTTAGAGTTGGCTAAATTTGACCACAATCGCCAGCTGCTGAAGGGTTGAATCCATGCAGGTAGCTAAAGTTATGTAAGTCCCCATGGTTCCTAGCATGGTGATCAACCTTCAGTTGCTGGTGATATATATTGTATGTTTATACATATTGTACTGTTGTTTATAGTGATATATTTTATGATAGCGTACTAGTTTTAATTAAGAGCTGTGATAATCTAGTATTTGTACTGTCCTTCAATGGCAGGTTTTTACGTTCTAAATTTGTTGATTTGAATATTGATTATAAATTGTTCTCGTCATGATATGGCTGCAATATTGCCGATGTTACGCTAAATATTAACTCACTCACTCACTCATATCTCATAGTGTCAATCAGTGGATTTTCTGGTCCAGAACCGATTGATGAAACGGCTTTTTCTTGAGAGGGTGGGCGTGTCCTTCAACACCCTTGACACAAACACACGCAAAGGCAAGGTGCCAGTGGTTGTACGAGAGACATGAACACGTTTCACATTGAAAGAATGTTCTTTTTTGTCGGAATGATCAAGTTTGAAATTTCCTCCATGAAAGAAAATCATAAGAGTATAATGTATTTGTTCTCTATTACAGACAAATCAACCATGAAAGCTATTCATCTTCCAAAGCCTTTAAGGTACCAATATTGACAAAGCAACTAATCAGGAGGTATATGGTCCTTACATTGACGTTGTTTCTGATTCTTAAATTATGTGACTGACAGTGAAATTGAGCTAAAATCCTTATCGGAATGATTCAACGATTACCGCTTATATAGCGTTCATGTTAAATCGATGACTTTGATAATTGGCAATGTGAAAAAACAAAGAAAGCTTTGAAGAAAACTTTAGTTCTGTTATTAATACTGCTTGTCTATACCTATTTAACGTCTTCTATAAGCTTGTTAGAAGACATTATTATACCACAATCATGAGCTTACGCATATACTTGGAAATCCTGTGGTGACTGGAATGTCTTAAAGTTTTAATAAGCTACGAAATGACGTTCTTCCACTGTGCTACATCGTAGTTACCAACAGCACGAAGTTTGAAACGATTAATGTTATTAAATTGTGAATAAGTTATCAACTGCTTGGTAAAATATGTGTTTCTAGCTCTGAACAAACGTGTCAGCTATTGCGTCCATATATGACGCTTGTGTGATTCTACGGCGCACTGTTTGAAGATATTGTCCCTTTCACGTACATAAACACACTTTCTCAGTAAAGGGCATCGATCTTACGTTTAACATGTGTAATTTCGCATATGGATGCCGGCGTAGAATAGATACCTGCCCGAATGTTGACTTGACAATTTGAGTAAGCAAGTTCAAAGGCATTTGGCATCGTAGCTCGGTGACATAATAACTTGCTTGGTTCATCACACGCTCACAATGCCTGACATACCTGATATTGTTTGAAATATACTAGCAGAAGCATTAAAGCATATTCCCAACTACTCACTCACTCACTCACTCACTCACCCTCCCACACTATCACCCACCCTCACAACCCTCTCATTCACTCAGGTTGTTTTACTCGCGAGTTTAACCTCTGTCCACTTGGTGTCGATGAAAAATGATTGTTGATATAATACTTATTTCCATTTCTTGATTCTCAAAGCATCATCAATTTGCCCAGCGCTGTGTCAGCATCAGTAATAAAACAATAATGTCAATAAAACAGGACTCGGTACCAGTGTTAGCATAATTGTCACCATGTTTCTGTTCTAGGACTGACAAAACAGAGATCGGAGAGACAGGCTATATCTGTAGCTATGCTTGTGAATACACATCGGACTATCAAGGTGAAAGCGTCCATCTACTGTATTGCTATCAGAAGACACACCGAACTGCCTGATCGATTCCATGTGTCCTCAAATGATTTCCGAGTTCAAAGTACTATCTGCTGGATATGGTTTAGAGCAATGGACAATTAAACCTGTGTGTGTGTGTTCATGTGGGTAGTAATGATTATCGATAATTGATAATCAATATTTCTATGTACGTAAGCAACGTGATATCGCCATATTGGTTTTCGGGTTCGTGTGTGTGTTTGAGTGTATGAGTCCGTCGGGGGTGAAGTAAGTGTGTGTGTGTGTGTGTGTGTGTGTGTGTGTGTGTGTGTGTGTGTGTGTGTGTGTGTGTGTGTGTGTGTGTGTGTGTTTGACTGTGCGTGTGTGTGTTGTATTGCGTTGGTGTGTGCGTATATTGTGTGTATGGTGGTTTGTGTTGAGATGTGTTTATGTATTGTGTGTGTTCCGTTTTATGAGTTTGGTGTATGTGTGTTGCGATGGATTTGTGTGTATTGTGTGTGAATGCTTGTATGTGTAGGGGGTATGTGTGACGCGATGGATTTGTGTATTGTTTGTGTTGGGTGTGAATGACTTTGTGTGTGTATTGCGTTTATGTGTGTTAGGATATGTAGGTATTATACAAACAGTATTGGCAGCACAGAGACAATACAAACAAACAGTACCTGTATATAGGTGAAAGTTCCTTCAACACTGCTAATATTCCTAGAATTACAAATAAAAAGCTATAGATATGTTTTCAAAGAAATATTACATTTTCCACCATACGAGCCTGTCTGTTCACCTTTAAAGGAGGTTCTTAAAAAATATTGCGTTACATATTCACTTAATTGTCATTAGTTCGAGAAAATGAAATGCCATGGAAAAGGACTCTTTCCTTCAGCTGAATCAGTCCTCCCATTGACAAATACACCTGCCTCATTATGAGATACGGGAACTTAATGATGGTTTGTTGGTCAGCAACAGAGGTAATTGGCCATGAACTCTTTTGAACATGAGTAATTGTATACAGGTTGTTCCATACTTATTATCATTACGCATTACTGCATGTATGTATAATTATTTCGTAGACCGCGGGACACTTGCACTAACCTACGTTAACTGTACTCTGCGGAGGATGGGGATACGTAAGATGAACCTGATTAGCAGTTACCTTGATAATCCAGGGATTCAGACTTCCCTGGATAATGATTGTGCATAGTAACTGATCAATCGAGGACGTGTCAGGTGTGTTAGGAAATCAATACTTTTGACTGATGTGTATGACCACTATTTCGCCAGGGTTATTTATGTTCTGTTTATGAAACTTCGAGTGATGAATTTCGAATGTTTCATAACAATATTGTAGTTTCACATGTATGCTTCCAAAATGGAAATTAGCTAATGAAAATGACATTAACGCTTACCAAAGACTATTCGAGGACGTTATGTATTCTCGGAATTTTTCTCATGTAGATTTTAAACAACCAGACAATATAGATCACTTCAATGATATGATAAGCTCTGCTCTATTGTATGCTTCCTCAAATTCTATACCTCACAGTAACTACAAACCATACCTAAAACCTTTTTGGAAATCTAATTGCCTAAATGATGCTCACTACGATATGCGAGTAGCTAGGCGTGCATGGATAAACTCCGGTAAACCTCGCGAACATGACTCTGAACAACGTTTGGCCTATAAAGATGAGAAAAGAAAATTCCGATGTCTGCTTCGGAAATCAAAAAGATCCCATAAAAAAGAAATGTTGAAAGAAATTGAATTATCTGCTGAATTGGACGTAAACACTTTCTACAAAACTGTCCGAAGCAACGGTCAGTAGTTACAAATGTATCTACACTTGATTACGGAGGCGAGAGCGGCTCAACGCCTTCTGAAGTATGTAAAATATGGGGCAAATACTATACCGACCTAGCTCACCACATGAGTCAGAAACATTTGATGATGATTTCAAAAATCACATATCTCAATTGGTTAAGAAAATTGACAATAGCAGCACTGAGGATTATGATGAGGAACTAGAAAGAGACTTTCTATTTGATGAGGTAAAGGATGCTGTTAAGTCTCTTAGCAAAAACAAATCCCCAGGTCCCGACAAAATTACAAACGAGCATATCATATATGCAGGTGATGTATTCATTAATTATGTATGTAAACTATTCAATCATATGATTGGGTCTCAATATGTCCCATACGCATATAGGATTGGAATGGTAATATCAATATACAAAGGTAAAAATGATAAAACCGACCCTCGAAACTACAGAGGTATCACACTAACATCTTGCCTTGGTAAATTATTTGAAAAGCTCTTGCTCAAACGAATTGAAAATAAATTGCTTAAATCAAATCCAGACTTTCCTGACAAGTTACAATTTTGATTTCGAAAAGAGCATGGAGCCATAATGTCTGTGTTTACTCTCATGGAGAGTATACAATACTATAACCATAGAGATTCCCCTGTCTTTACAGCCTTTCTCGACAATGCAAAAGCATTCGACAGAATTTGGCATGATGGTTTATTCTATAAGCTTCATGAACTTGGTATTAGAGGTAATACATAGAAACTGTTACATCACTGTTACACCAATAGCCAATCGTTTGTTGCATACCACGGCGAGAGGTCAGATATGTACTTGGTCAAACAAGGTGTTGGACAAGGGAGGGTTATATCCTCTTGTTTTTTTCTCATTTTTATTAATGACCTAATTACATCTTTAAGAGAAGCTGGCTGTGGTATCCGTGTCTTTGGTATGGACGTTCCAGCTGTCTTGCTTGCTGACGATACTACACTCATAAGCACATCCCCTAATGGCCTACAGGTATCACTGGATATTGTCTCTTCATACGCTTCTAAATGGCGTCTAACATATAACCCATCAAAAAGTACCATCATCGTTTTTAGCAAAAGAAAAGGCTATGATGTAAACGTCCACTGTAGCATTGGTAACATCCCAATCCCCTTATCAGAATCTACCGTATATGGGGGTGTACTATTTACAAGTAACCTCTCAACAAAAACTAGAAGTGAAAAGTATTGTCAGAAAGCAAGACAGAATGTAAACTCACTTAGATCTATTGGACTGAATGATTCTGACCTACATCCAATCACTTGTGTTAAAATATGGCTCAGAATGATTCTTAAAACTAGTCTCTATGGCTGTGAAGTATTACCAAACATCAAAGTCCAACAGGCTGACACCTTTGAACAAACACAAAGATACTTTGCTCGTCTTGTGCAAGGTCTTGATAAGAGGTCATCATCAATATCTACCATTGCAAATTTGGGATTATGGTCACTAACTGGGTATATCGATAAATGTAAACTACTATTTCTTGGGCGACTATGTAACACTGAGTGTAACAACTTTGCAAAACATATCTTTTGTGCTGCTATTGCAACTTCAGTAAAATCTAACATCTGTGATGATCTTTTATCAATATCTGAAAAGTATAATCTAAATACATTTGTTGACAACTATATTGCTCAAGGCATATTTCCTCCAAAACGGGTATGGAGAAGAATTGTAAATGCTACTGTACATAGTTATGAAGAACAATTATGGCGATCACAAACTCTCTATCGTTCAAACATGTCATTTTACGCAACAACTCATACTACACTCTCTTATCATACTTTCTGGCAACTGGCATATAAACACCCTAATTATAAATCTTCCTTGCAATTTTGTGTCAAAATATTATCAAGAGGTAAAATCCCAAAAGAGTGTGCTCTTTGTAATAAATAAATATTTGACTATGATTTCCACATGCTTCTTCACTGTGTAAACCTAATACAACAACGAAATGATTTCTTTGCATACTTAATAAACTTGATGTTGAAACTTACGTAATATTTGAAATGCAAGGTGAACAAGATATAAACAAGATAAAACGACTTGTATAACTCTATAGATTCAACACTATGGGAAACCATACTGTTACTCTTTTCTTTGTATGTATATGACCTGAAACCTCACCTTGTGAACTGTTATACAGAATGATTCTCTTCATGTCATAAATTTCTGTACATATATCTCTAAACATCCAATTGTTAATATTCATGTACTTGTTGTAATAATATGATGTTTTTGTTTGTAATCTTCGGTAACTACTGGAGGAAATAAAGACTCTCTCTCTCTCTCTCATGTATGCTTTTCAGTAGGATGCAACTGCCTTAAAAATGCACGTACCGTCACGATAGCGATTGATTGATAGAGAGTGGTTTTTGAGCCTCTTTACAGCAACATTACAGCAATATCACTGCAGAGATGAGCTTTAAACATTGTCGATAGACAAGGAGCCAGACAGACAGAGGCGTGCCTATGACCAAGGATGGGGTTTTCTTTAGGATCCAATTGCAACTGCCCCAAGAATGCAGGTACCGTTATGGTGGTGAGTGGTTGGTTTTATTTACAATTTCATCATAAGTTATCACTTATCAAAACAAATTACAGCAATATTGGTGTCATGTCACTTACGCTGCAGGTAAGTGGTGAACAGTTGTCGGCCAGCTCCCTGATCAGGTGAGCTCTTATCACTAATCCCTTGGCCGGCTGGTTGACCAGTAACATATTTCATGGGGAGACTCAACATTGCAGTCAACCAGCATAGTTGTCAATCCCCTTAATTTGCTGAGTAAGAGAGCATGATCCCAACGAATGTCCCTGGTAACGGTTATGTCAGATCAGGATCGACGTCAGAATACACGTAGTGCGCATTCCTCACGGTGGAAAACCAGTCAGAAACTTTAAACCCTCTTCCGATCAACGGCACTATTCAAACACACAAAAAAGCCAGGACGCAGCCCTGTACTCCTTTCATAGAATTCATTAATTACTCCACATCTTCAGTTGATACACGAATGGTTGGAACAACCTGGTTTTCTTCTATGGGTTTCGGACGATTCCATGTGGAGGTGAACATCCTCTGAAGCTTATGTTTAACATCGACCGATCGGAATGCATAAATTAAAGGGTTTCCTAGCGAATTGCTGACTGCCAAAAGATCGGTCATGTGATTGATCTCATCCCTGAGCGGTGTCCTGTCCCGGATGTACGATATCAACTTGACAATGACGTAGGGTCCCCAAGATAACAAGAAGTAGCCACACAGAGTAGCCAGCAGTTTGGCGGCTTTGAGGTGAGCTGCCAGCTGATTGTTGCCATTGTTGCCCGTCTCAGCATCTACACGATGTCTGCAAGAAAGGGCGATCCTGAAAGATAAATGCATCATAATTATGTAATACGTTCCTTTCCAGTTCGCAAATACCTGTTCCGTTTACTGGCAATCGTAAATGGAGATTATGAGATAACTATGTAGCGACAGTATTATGAACATATACTTACCTATATATTTTGTAGTAAACAAAGGCACTAATAAAGAATGAGACAATAAAGCTACATCCCATGGTAAATATAAAATACACCGGCACTAGGAAGAATTCTGGACTGCACACAGAGGCATCAAAGTCTTCTCGTACTACCCCCAAAACAGGAGTAAAAGAGATGAAGAAGCAAAAGACCACGCTACAGGAGATGGCGATGCTGATCCGTGTGTTGTTGATGATGTTGTAGTAGTGGAGAGGACGGGTGATGAGGATGTATCGGTCAATGCTGACGATCACGAGCATGTGCATGGATACAGACCCAAGGAAGATGGCGATGCAGTAAGAAACAAGACATGTCCAGTAGCTCCTGAAAGTTTTGTACTCTAACAGAACCAAGACTGTTCGTATTAGACCGAACCCTAAATCTGCCACCGCTAGTGTTCCAATTATGACGTTTGATGGGGAGTGTAGTGATGCGTTTTGCACGAGTACGACGACGACGATGATGTTGACAGTGAGGATGAAGATGACGAGAAGGTAGTTCAGGAACAGACCAAGCACAATCCACGCTGAGGTCATTTTCTAAAGGTAACAGACAAAGTATCTTCTATTAACTGACATTTCGTACTGAATTATTGTTAGAAAGCAACTTTATTTGAATATGACCGAGTATGCTCTTCAGCTCACCATTTGAAAGGCCAAGTCAGCAGCTGTCGTAAAGCATGATCACAACGTCGAACGTCCCTCGTAACCTTTTATATTGTTTCACATTTCTGAAACCACCAACCTACAATGTTCACTCTTGACATGAATAATCCTAGCATTTGCATCCGCAGAATGTACCGACAGAAAGTGAATAACAAATTAGGGATTGGTAATTTTATGTTTCTCAGAGACTTTTCTGTCTGTATCACAATGACACTGCCGTCTGTGAGGAAGTAATGGGACGTAAACTGCCGTTCAGAACAAAATATGCACTAAATATATGACAAAAGTTATATGACTTTTAACATTATAAGAATTATACTATTTTCCATATACCACAATCTTAAGGTAAAACACACACAATTGTAATACCCGAACTAAATACACTTGGTCTTCACAAACCTATGCTAGCCGTAAGAGGAGACTAACGGGATCGGCTGGTCAGGCTCACTGACGTCATCAACCAAATCAGAGTGCCTGACCACAAGATCCCGTTATTTGCCTCTTACGACAAGCATGCTTTGCCGAAGACCATTTCTAACACAGGTAGAAACTCGTGTAGGGAGTGCACTATTACCAAAATACAAACCCCACATGTACGTCCTTAAGTAATATTTTCTATGGCAAATGAACAAACCAGAATTTCATTGTTCTTAGACGAGAGTTGACAATGATGTCTTGCACACATTAACATATCTTTCACTAAACCTTTTGGTATTTGTAGTCCTTCACAAATGTCATATATACAAAAATGGATTTTGTTTATCATATTGCAGAAATTCCCACAGTGTCATAATAATTACTGCACCATTTGGTATTTGTAGACCTTTGGAAATATCTTACTACTACAAAATGGATCTTTTCAGGTTTGTCATATTGCAGAAATTCCCGCAGTGCCATAATAATTACTGAATCTTTTGATATTTGTAGTCCTTTGGAAATATCTTACTACTACAAAATGGATCTTTTCAGGTTTGTCATATTGCACAAATTCCCAAATGCCATAATAATTACTGAACCTTTTGATATTTGTAGTCGTTTAGAACTATCTCACTACTCCAAAATGGATCTTTTCAGGTTTGTCATATTGCAGAAATTCCCACAATGCCATAATAATTACTGAATCTTTTGACATTTGTAGTCCTTTAGAACTACCCTTTAGAACTATCTTACTACTCCAAAATGGATTTTTTTCAGGTTTTTTCATATTGCAGAAATTTCCAGTGCCAAACTAAAATAATTGACTGTGTTGGCGTTTGAAATATATATAGTATACTTACACTATTTATCGACACCCACCTCAGGAGAGACAGTTCATGGAACCAAACACCTCCAGGTCTGTGTAAACCTTGCAAAGTATCCAGGCGATTACAAATTAAACAATTGGCTCATCATTTATCTGCAACCGTGTATACATGCGACTTATGACTGGAAACACGTGGCAAAATCATTATTAGTTACTGATGTAGAAAATTGCTGTTTGTTTGTATTGGAAGAAGGAGCTTAAATATTCATTTGCAATTATCATTTCTTTATGTGCATGTATTGAGACTTACAATCTGTCAGAAGAGTTCCTGCTTGACGAAGAAATGTCAAGGTGGAGATATTGACGTATTACATGTAATTACTCAGAATCAAGGGAAACGTTGCCCAAAGGGCGATATATGACAGATAACCTGGTGTGAGGAGTACAATGATTCCAATTAGCTGAAAGTGAAGGTATTTAAAGTTTGTCTGACAGAGATGGTTGAAAATAATAAAATCGTGATAAAGATATCTCCTTCATTTTGAATTTAATCGACAAAACCCTTTCCACAATCCTAAAACATCTCTGCTCTTTGACTATATGGTTTAAATAAATATTTATTCCCTCAGATGACATATATCTGAATACATTTTGATATAATAGGAAAACAAATCACAATTAAAGAAGTGGGACCAATTTCAGACAGCACAGGGCACCAGTTCATAGGATAGTTGCAGGCTTATTATGTAATATTGGTATGCTTGTATGTCAGTGGACTTCATAACAGCCAATCCAGCGCGAGGCGTCCTCTATCCACTCCCGAAGGTAGGCTCCACGCCTTTCATTCAGGGTCACCAGTGAAAATCTGGTTAGAACTGGTCTTCAGCAACACGTGCTTGTCATAAGTGGCGCCTGACAGGATCAGGTGATAACAGGTTCGCTGACTTGGTTGGTACATGTCATCGTATCCCAATTGAGTAAATCGATGCTCATGATGTTTTATTTCTTGATTGTCTGGTCTGGCTCGATTATTTAGATACCTCCGCTATATAGTTGGAATATTGCGGTGTTAAACAAAAACAACCAACCATGATCATCAATCGAACACGTCAGGTAAATCATTGAAAGAAATATTGCTTTTGTAAAAGCGAACAAGCTAAGTTCTAAACAAAGCGGATGTTGTACCATGAACTAGCAATGTAGATATTTCTATTTCAGAAGTTCAGTTATCTTGATTCAATCAGCACAACCATTCTTAATTACAAAAGATCAAAGGCATTATACAGATAAAGAGATTAACGAGTGTAAATAGCAGCCATGTTGGAAAATTATCGTCACTGTCTAATCCGGCACCCTGTCTAAACAGGCATTTTATTTCGGTCCCGTGGTGTGCCTGTTTAGACAGGTATCACTGTACTTACGTTTTTTAGGTGTCTACGTTAAACCCTCTTATGGTTTAGTGCAGAATGTGAGTGAATCTGAGTGTGGAGGAGTGCCTATATCAGTGTTAAATTTACAAAACCCCAAACATCCATTACATCATACCTTTAATATGAACCTCAGTAACAGAATTACTATGTATACAATTGCCTTTTCAACTCAGGTATAATCTTGCTTGTTTCGTTTAAAGATGCCTATCTTTTCGTGTATGATTTGGGGAAAGCATTACCCTGGGTGTCTGGTTCTGTATATAACAGGTTGCTAGTTGGAACGAGAGCTCATGTCCAATGGAAATTGAAATAGAACTTTGTCCTAGTGTGTGTCAACCAATTTTGGTGATTAATTTCAACACTTATTTATCTTTCCAGTTTTGGAAGATGATAGAAAATTCTACATATTTCTACACTAAACAAACCTTCTTTAACATGAATTTACTTTTTAATACTAGTAGTCGCAAACTAGGAAGTGTTTCATGCAAATTGTATACCTTTACATTAAGATTATTATGTCAATGTTGTACCTCTAATGAGTTTATATATAGTTCAGGTTTGCCCAGTTCAGCCTGGGGGAACTCTCTTCCGCTAAGTATTAAAACAGGCAGTACCCTTACCATTATTCGTTCAAAACTATCTCTCGACATCCGCCTTCAAACTCTCTCTCTTTCTGTCTCTCCCTCTTTTTGTCCCCCCCCCCCCCTCTCTCTCTACCTCTCTCTAAATCAAGCCGCTTTTATCAAGATGAACCCCCCCTCGACATCCGCCTAGTACCTACTTCATCCTTCTGTTTGGTCTGTACACAGACCACACCTGATTATTAATGTACCTTGCTACATCCTGGCGACGTCGGATTCCATCCTGGGTTTGTTGATTAGCTATGGGATGAGTATATTGACCAGAATCTACCTTGACCAATGTTGATAATCGCACGTTGTCATTGACAAAAGCCTCGTGTAAATGCACCACGTTAATCTCAAGGAAACGACGGGGCCATCCATTATCTCTGATTAGTAAAAGACCCAGAAATAACATAAGTAATAGTCATCATTAAGCCAAAATCAATTTTCCAGAAACTGTTCTGTTTAGGCCAAGATAAGTTACACCTAAAACTGAAACAACGTTTAAATGGAAGTAGTATTCTTTAGTATTTGCTTTCGTGCCTTGATCTATTGGTCGTGAAGCGGAAATTAAGAATTTTCCAATTGAAGGGTGAGAGTTATCTGATTCAATCTGTGTATAGGACATAGAAACGATAAACTCGTTGCAATGTGCCATGTAAAGGTTAGGGTTGAATCTCTGAAGCAAACGCTTTCATGAAACATTAGTAAGATTACTCAAGCACGAGATGGTATAAACAGCATTATATATATTTAAGTATGTGCCCGGTCATTTAATGGCATTAATATAATACTATTGGTTGTTGTTTTTCCTCAGTGCTCAAAATATACTCTCCCAAAAAAGAAACGCATTATGAAAATAGCAATTTCATGTAGCAATGAATTTAAACGTGATTCTTTTTACAAAAGGTTTTGCTCTGTTTATGAGTCCTATGATGTTTATGTTTTGAAACATCACAACAAAACGCACCATCCGTAAAATACCCGTATTTAACAGCATGATTTTCAATTTCGGCGTGTAGTGTCACAGAATACACAATTCACATGCAATGCACGTGAAAGTTGGGGATCAGATAGTCTCAATGATGGGTATAAACGGTTGATTGCTGTCTGTCGATTATTCACTGTATTTGGAATATTGTTGACGAACGCAAAATGCCACGTCTAAGTAAAGCCAACCGTCATATCGCCATTGGTTTGCTTGAAGCTGGCCAGTCGCCCGACGCATGAATGTTCACCAAAGCACCATTTCACGGTTCTGGGAGAGATATCGCCGGCAGAATGCGGTAGCACATGCCCCTCGTAGTGGGCGACCTCGAGCGACCACTGCGGCGCAGGATCGCTACATCCGGGTACATCGCCTGCGTCATCGAACAGCTACGATAACAGTACCGCTCGACAAATACCCGGATTGAGGAGGCACAGACCGTCAGGAACAGGTTGAGAGAGGCTGGTTTACGTGCCAGAAGACCTTATTTTGGCCCTGTGCTTCGACAACAACATCGTCGACATCGAGTTCAATGGTGCACCAACGTTCAGGCCTGGAACCTACCGAATTGGCGTAGAATCTGGTTCAGTGATGAATCACACTTTCTATTGGAACGACGCGATGGAAGAATGCGGGTGTACAGACGTCGACGTGAACTCAAACTGACTTTCCTCGAGTTGGTGCCAAAGATGGATAAGTCTGCATTCACAGTGTGCAATTTCGCTATATTTCATTGACTCATAAAGCCTACAAGATGTTTCAAAATAAACATAAAAATACAGTTGAAATTCCTATATGCGTTTCTTTTTGGGAGAGTATATTAGTTAAATCAGCTCACGGTATGTCTAGATTTAAACCACACGATTTTCCGTAAATATAACTTGATGAAGGGTTCGATGCTACTTGTCATGATGACGTGCCTTGTTATGTAATTGGTGAGTGAGTGAGTGAGTTTAGTTTTACGCCACACTCAGCAATATTCCAGCTATATGGCGGCGGTCTGTAAATAATCGAGTCTGGACCAGACAATCCAGTGATCAACAACATGAGCATCGATCTGCGCAATTGGGAACCAATGTCAGCCAAGTCAGCGAGTCTGACCACCCGATCCCGTTAGTCGCCTCTTACGACAAGCATGGGTTACTGAAGGTTCATTCTAACCCGGACCTTCACGGGTATGTCATTGATGAAAACATCCCTATATCTGATGATGTTTAAGAGGACGGTGACTATGGCGACTGAGGGATCCCGGACGTCTAGGGTAACATGACTCATTATCAGATCCACCTGAGTGGTCTAGCAAAGTCAATGTCCCAGAACGTTTTCTGCCAATTTTAGTTAAGTGAATCCTCTTGATTACAATGTGTTAACTATTCAAAGGGAATTAAGATGTTCGAAATCTAAGCCTTTTCATAATTAAAATGAACAACGGTGATATATTACTGTTTCATTTCATTCCATAATTTTTGTGTTTGTACATTTTGTTATGTTTCCCATCATTTGTGTGCATCAGATATCCTTCCAATGGGTAAGGATTATGGGTTCATTTCAGTTTAGGCTTCACATTTTGTTATGTTTCCTATCATTTGTGTGTATCAGATATTTGTTTTAAACATATGTTATTCATCAGAAAAGGATTGAGTACAAGTTATACAATTTAGAACACTCTGTCCGTGGTATTTACATAAATAATATTTACATTCTTTATGCAAGATGGACAGAAAAGAACAGAAAGATGGGAAACAGATGCCCTCGTAGTGGGCGACCTCGAGCGACCACTGCGGCGCAGGATCGCTACATCCGGGTACATCGCCTGCGTCATCGAACAGCTACGATAACAGTACCGCTCGACAAATACCCGGATTGAGGAGGCACAGACCGTCAGGAACAGGTTGAGAGAGGCTGGTTTACGTGCCAGAAGACCTTATTTTGGCCCTGTGCTTCGACAACAACATCGTCGACATCGAGTTCAATGGTGCACCAACGTTCAGGCCTGGAACCTACCGAATTGGCGTAGAATCTGGTTCAGTGATGAATCACACTTTCTATTGGAACGACGCGATGGAAGAATGCGGGTGTACAGACGTCGACGTGAACTCAAACTGACTTTCCTCGAGTTGGTGCCAAAGATGGATAAGTCTGCATTCACAGTGTGCAATTTCGCTATATTTCATTGACTCATAAAGCCTACAAGATGTTTCAAAATAAACATAAAAATACAGTTGAAATTCCTATATGCGTTTCTTTTTTTGGGAGAGTATATTAGTTAAATCAGCTCACGGTATGTCTAGATTTAAACCACACGATTTTCCGTAAATACCTTGATGAAGGGGTTCGATGCTACTTGTCATGATGACGTGCCTTGTTATGTAATTGGTGAGTGAGTGAGTGAGTTTAGTTTTACGCCACACTCAGCAATATTCCAGCTATATGGCGGCGGTCTGTAAATAATCGAGTCTGGACCAGACAATCCAGTGATCAACAACATGAGCATCGATCTGCGCAATTGGGAACCAATGTCAGCCAAGTCAGCGAGTCTGACCACCCGATCCCGTTAGTCGCCTCTTACGACAAGCATGGGTTACTGAAGGTTCATTCTAACCCGGACCTTCACGGGTATGTCATTGATGAAAACATCCCTATATCTGATGATGTTTAAGAGGACGGTGACTATGGCGACTGAGGGATCCCGGACGTCTAGGGTAACATGACTCATTATCAGATCCACCTGAGTGGTCTAGCAAAGTCAATGTCCCAGAACGTTTTCTGCCAATTTTAGTTAAGTGAATCCTCTTGATTACAATGTGTTAACTATTCAAAGGGAATTAAGATGTTCGAAATCTAAGCCTTTTCATAATTAAAATGAACAACGGTGATATATTACTGTTTCATTTCATTCCATAATTTTTGTGTTTGTACATTTTGTTATGTTTCCCATCATTTGTGTGCATCAGATATCCTTCCAATGGGTAAGGATTATGGGTTCATTTCAGTTTAGGCTTCACATTTTGTTATGTTTCCTATCATTTGTGTGTATCAGATATTTGTTTTAAACATATGTTATTCATCAGAAAAGGATTGAGTACAAGTTATACAATTTAGAACACTCTGTCCGTGGTATTTACATAAATAATATTTACATTCTTTATGCAAGATGGACAGAAAAGAACAGAAAGATGGGAAACAGTTGAACAATTGCGATGATTAAAATGATATGTTTGATTGACAAATATATGTTTGAACAATTGTAAGTATGCTTTGATGTATACGAACAAAGCTGCACTGGCATGTAATAGAAGCTGATAATTTATATTCATTTTGGTAAATCAGATATCATTCCGACGCGAAAGAATTATGGATTTATTTCAGTTTGTGTTTCGCATTTGTTGTTTCCTATCATGATTTTGTGTGTATCAGATATCATTCCAGTGGGTAAGGATTACGGGTTTATTCAGTTTGGTTTTTATATTTTGTTATGTTTTCCATGGGTAACAGCGAGTGCTTTTGTGAAACCTAGTAGGCGAATTATATCATGACTCATGCAAAACATATCATGGGGATATAAAGATTGGCTCCTTCATTCTGCACCAGATGAATACTTGCATAATGAAAATAAAATCGACAAAAACCTTTTGCACATTCATGCGAAATCACGATTGTACGATTCCGACCACATCCCGAGCATGCGTAGATATGAATCAGTGTCATATAGAGTGAGTGAGTGAGTTATTATTTAACGTCACATCGACAATATTTCAGCCATATCGTGACGAGAACATATGTGACCTTGAAATGGAATAAATGTATATTATAAAAACCTGTCGACGAAGGACAGTAAAACAACTAGAATATCACAATTACAACTAAAACTAGTGTGGAAAATTAAAACTAATAGCACTATTTTGACAATACAATATAAAAACTGGCTACAGATCGCCAACAACTGAAGGTAGATCACCAAACTAGGGACGTGTCTTATAGAGAAGAAAACAGATGTTTGCCAACACGGCAATTTACGAATAATATATCGTGTTGAAACAAATCGTGTTTTAGTAGACTGAAGGATACTGTGCCATCTCTGATACCTTTATCAGTCAGTCGGTCACACTGGTTATATTTGATATATTTGAACTTGCAATTGATTAAGCTTTACTTTACATGGCTTTTAATAAACTTGGTCTCATTATCGTTTAACGACATCATTATCCTATCATAGACCTGTGCACTCTCTAATCATCCAATTTAGTTTGTCAATGGCAAAGTTGAAGTGTCCAGGTTTATTACAAAGTGCGGTAAATCGATATAATTAGACCGGCTATTATTACATTACTATTAGAATAATTGCAGGAGTGAATGATTAGGCGTCAATGTAGATCTAGAATAGTGTTATTGATAGGTTTAATACGTCTTGTTACAGTCATGTTGAAGGAATGCAACGTTACACAGGTCCCAGAAGAGTAAAACTTGTATTTATTTCACAGTAAAATGCTAAAGAAACATAGGTGATGACGATGATGGGATAATATGAAAATAGAGAGGATATATGTTAATCAGACAATATGGACTAACCGGTCCTCCGTTACTTACAGTGAGTGAGTGTACAAATATTTACCTCAACAGATGAAAATATTCCTCCTTTAATAATTTAATAACGTGCAATTCATCAAAAAAATGTAAAAAACATGTCTTTAGTTCATACGGTACTGTATCCTCTAAGTAAATGTTCAACGGAAAAATATCCACGAGTCGCAAATCGTAAAATAGCGGTGAAAACGAAAATGCATCCTTTAGAACACGATCTCTTAGATACAATCATGGAGATCAATTCAGCTCCTGTGTCACTTTCTTTTACTTCAGAACATCATCGTATCCCAATTGCGTAGATCGATGATCATGATGCTGATCACTGATTGTCTGGTCCAGACTCGATTATTTACAGACCGCCGTCATATAGCTGGAATATTGCTGAGTGCGGCGTTAAACAACAAACAAACAAACTTCAGTACGCAAGGAACGAACTCATAAATGCAACCTCCTTCTTTTGCCTTGGTGTGATTTCAGTATCTGGCCATTACCAACACAGGCTTGCTTCGCCGGTAGTCTTTAACTCTCACCACAGAGTTTAGTGACCAAAAACATTCACCCCTTTGCATTGTTAAATCAAGAAAACACATCACAAATAACATTATTTCCTCATTCAATTAATCATGTAAGTACGTTTCACACTTCTTTGTCAACTTCCACTGAAGATATACATGTATTAGTATTGGACTGGCGTCTTGCGGTACTTTCTTTTACATTGCCATGTTGGTCGTTCCGGTTAAATACCTTCGGGAACATCTTCTTTATAATTCTCTTCACCTCCATCTGACGTAGAGCATAAATTACCGGATTCCCCAGGGAGTTAGAGGCAGCTAAGGACATACCTATACGGCTGAAAACATCACTGAACCGTTGGCGTCCTCTGAGGTACGAACTTGATATATCAATGAAATGTGGCGTCCAAGAAATTAAGAAGTAGCCGCAGAGAAGTGCAAACAGCTTGGCAGCCTTGAAATGTGAAGCTAACTGGCTGGAGCCTTCGTCTCGTCCAAATGCGATGCGGCGGCTATGGGAGAACGCTACCCTGTGAAACAGATACTTGTCATTAGGGACGGACTATTTGATATTGTACGGGAAACCAGTAAGTTTTAATTAAAAATTACAGTCTAAATGTTTGCATGCAGTTTTATTTCTAATTGTTTAATAGGCATTTTAGAATTTGGTGAGTTAAGAAATGAAGTGTGAATAATGGTGGGCGAGCTGGCTAAGGCGCCAGACTAGTGATCCAGCGGGCATGAGGTGCCGGGATCAAGACCACCTGTGACCGGGTGTAAAAAGCTTGGAGTCGACTTTGTGTGCAGATTCTTTCTGTGTTGTCACAACCCATAGTGTATCCTGTGCACATAAAAGAACCCACTAATCCGTTGGTTTATGACAAGATGGTGGACATATGAATACGTGCAAACACCTAGTTGTGGGTACAGCAACGTGCAGTAAACTTTGACAAAGTACTGCGACTATGTGTCCCAGTCCACCCAGCTGTGAATGGGTACCACTTAAGGATGGGAAAGCCGCAATAACTCGGTGCGCCTTGTGGCAGCAAGAGTTGTATGATCCCCAGGGAGTTGAGATTGATAATAAAATGTGCCGTTGAGATTGACATCCAATGATATCGGGGAAAAAATAGCAGCGCCTTGAGCATGCACTAGTGCGTGGATATGTGCGCTATATAAATATCCAATAATAATAACATTTATGAATATTAGCTAACAGAGTACCGTTTCGGTGTAGATTCCGTTATCAAGCTAAAAGTAGAAAGAATCTACACCGAAACGTTGCTCTATGCATTAAACATGAAGTTGTTATCCATAAAGTCGTATGCTTCAATTCCATTTCTTCTAATGAGTTTGAAGTATAATTATTTTGTAAGCATTTTCTGGGATATTCGTTTTTTCGATACAGCGCATTTCTTTCAAATGGGCAAATACGAATCTTACGGTACTTATCATTTTGTGGAAAACGTAAGATTCAGGATCACTTCAGCAAATAACAGTGGATACGTAATGGTGTATATGAATTGTACCTGCATATTTTGTAGTAAATGTAAGATTCAAGATTCCACTAGTAAATAACGGTGGATACGTAATGGTGTATATGAATCGTACCTGCATATTTTGTAGTAAATGTAAGATTCAAGATTCCACTAGTAAATAACAGTGGATACGTAATGGTGTATATGAATCGTACCTGTATATTTTGTAGTAAATGAAAGATTCAGGATCACTTCAGCAAATAACAGTGGATACGTAATGGTGTATATGAATCGTACCTGCATATTTTGTAGTAAATGAAAGATTCAGGATTACACTTCAGCAAATAACAGTGGATACGTAATGGTGTATATGAATCGTACCTGTATATTTTGTAGTAAATGAAAGATTCAGGATCACTTCAGCAAATAACAGTGGATACGTAATGGTGTATATGAATCGTACCTGCATATTTTGTAGTAAATGAAAGATTCAAGATTCCACTAGTAAATAACGGTGGATACGTAATGGTGTATATGAATCGTACCTGCATATTTTGTAGTAAATGTAAGATTCAAGATTCCACTAGTAAATAACAGTGGATACGTAATGGTGTATATGAATCGTACCTGTATATTTTGTAGTAAATGAAAGATTCAGGATCACTTCAGCAAATAACAGTGGATACGTAATGGTGTATATGAATCGTACCTGCATATTTTGTAGTAAATGAAAGATTCAGGATTACACTTCAGCAAATTGGATACGTATGAATCGTACCTGTAATTTTGTAGTAAATGAAAGATTCAGGATTACACTTCAGCAAATAACAGTGGATACGTAATGGTGTATATGAATCGTACCTGCATATTTTGTAGTAAATGAAAGATTCAGGATTACACTTCAGCAAATAACAGTGGATACGTAATGGTGTATATGAATCGTACCTGCATATTTTGTAGTAAAATGAAAGATTCAGGATTACACTTCAGCAAATAACAGTGGATACGTAATGGTGTATATGAATCGTACCTGCATATTTTGTAGTAAATGAAAGATTCAGGATTACACTTCAGCAAATAACAGTGGATACGTAATGGTGTATATGAATCGTACCTGCATATTTTGTAGTAAATGAAAGATTCAGGATTACACTTCAGCAAATAACGGTGGATACGTAATGGTGTATATGAATCGTACCTGCATATTTTGTAGTAAATGTAAGATTCAGGATCACTTCAGCAAATAACAGTGGACACTTAATGGCTTGTATGATTCGTAACTGTATATTTTGTAGAATAAGTAAGATTAAAAGAACGGGATTACTTTCAGGATTACACTTCAGCAAATAACAGTGAATACGTTATAGCGTAAGTGATTCGTACCTGTATATTTTGTAGTAAACGTAAGATACAGGATTACACTTTAGTAAATAACGTAAATACGTAATAGCGCCAATAATTCATACCTGTATAGTCTGTACCAAACGTAAGATTAAGATGCGGAAGCTAGAACAGTTGCGTTCAGGATTACACTTCAGCAAATAACAGTGAATACGTTGTGGCGTAAGTGATTCGTACCTGTATATTTTGTAGTAAACGTAAGATACAGGATTACACTTTAGTAAATAACGTAAATACGTAATAGCGTAAATGATTCATACCTCTATAGTCTGTACCAAACGTAAGATTAAGATGCGGAGGCTAGAACAGTTACGTTCAGGATTACACTTCAGCAAATAACAGTGGATACGTAATGGCGTAAGTGATTCGTACTTGTATATTTTGTAGTAAACGTAACATACAGGATTACACTTTAGTAAATAACGTAAATACGTAATAGCGTCAATGATTCATACCTCTATAGTCTGTACCAAACGTAAGATTAAGATGCGGAAGCTAGAACAGTTACGTTCAGGATTACACTTCAGCAAATAACAGTGGATACGACGTAATGGCGTAAGTGATTCGTACCTGTATATTTTGTAGTAAACGTACACCAGGATGGACATGCAGATCATGAAAGTGCAGCCTACTGTCAGAATAAAATACACAGGTGCCATGATGAATTCAGCGCTGCACGTGCTCCCATCAAAGTCCTCCCTTCGTATCCCCATCACGGGGCTGAAAGCCATTACAAAACAGAATGTCAGGTCTATCGCTATACCTATGCCGACACGTTTGTAGGTGACGATGTTGTAGTAATGGAGAGGACGCGTGATTTGGATGTAGCGGTCGATGCTGACGAAGATGAGCATGTGCATTGATACTGATCCCGACATTATGGCAACGGAGTACAGGAAGAGACAGCCCCAGTAGCTTTTAAAAATTCCCGTCTCAATTAGCGATATTCCGGAGAGATTAAATCCAAACCCGAGGTCACCGAAGGCCATGACGCAAAGGATGACGTTTGTTGGCGAATGTAACGACTTGCTGCGTATGAGGATGACAATGATGAAGATGTTCGCTACGACGATGAGGACAGAAAGTAGCAGGCTGAAACAGACGTCCACCAGCACCAACGAGGACACCATCTTTGGGGGCACCTGCGTTTAAAGAAAATAGTTTGATGCTCGAGAAAAGAAGCACTGGTAGTTCCACGTAATGTTCCCATGGTTACCTATTAATGATACAGTCTGATCCAGGCAACCAGTGGTTGATAGCATGAGCGTGGAAAGGAGACATCATATACTACAAACAATCAGCACGGATTATCACAAAATTTTAGGGGTGCAGTGCAGGGGCCGGAGGAGGAGGAGGCGGCAGAAAGGGGGAAATGGGGGAAGAAAAAAAAAAGGGGGGGGGGGGCTATTCTGCCCTGCACATTGGATTCAAATCTTGTCCATATCAATGCTAAAAGGAGAGTCGAGTTTACAAGTTCAACTGTATCACGAGTATGAAAAAGATAGGCGTATGCTAATGTTACCACCTTCTAGATTTAATAGCCCTTTTCTGTCGCTCTTTTACCTAAGTAAATATTAAGAAATATAACACATAAAAAATATGTCGACTCTGCCAACGCATTTATGTCTGTAGAATTTGAACGTTTGGGAACTACTAATTTACCACGATCGTAAAGCTGGGGTCTTGTACCTCAGTGTTTAGCTCATTCTTCTAACCTAAAGGTGTGTTAAGCTTCATAGTCACATTCGCCGTATTTCACCCATATCGTGACTAAAACATGGGACCAATTCTAACCAGGATCTTCATGGGTAATAATATATGAAGACATGTCGAAAATGACTGTACACGAACTAGATTATCACATGTATTTAAAACAAGTATTACAACATGAATATATTATTAATAAAAATTGACGCTTATAAGCATCCCATTATATTTTGAGTTATAACAAGCCGATGGTATTTGGAAAAATGGGCCAAAAAAATTTGTACGGATTATGAAATATACGAATTTACGAATCACTGGTTTAAGATAAAATACTGTACACGTGTACAAGCATTCAAAACAGTTATAATCCGTGAAGATCCGGGTTAGAATTGGTCTTCAGGAACCCATGCTTGTCGTTAGAGGTAACTAACGGGATCGGGTGGTCGGGTTGAGATGGTTGACACAATGTTGATTATTTACAGACCGCCGCCATATAGCTGAAATATTGCTGAGTGCGGCGTTAAACAACTACCAACCAATCTACCAACCAAACTGTTAATTATCCTCAGTAAAGCAAGGTTTTTGGATTAAAGGGGTATACACTAGCGTTCAATAAATGATTGTATCACTTACCTTAATCGAAACACTTAATCGTTCCCTCTGGTCTGTTCTGTATAAATGTCTTCAGCTCGTAGTCTACTGCAACGTGATAAAGCCCTATGCTATGCCTGCAATTGGCTGAAACTTACTGTCGTGCATTTGCCAGTGTATATCACACCCCGTATGTCACGTGAATACGGACAATAGGTGACTGGCATCGATCATGTCCCATCCAACCATTTGATTGGAAGATGCAATAGAGGGTTACTTTTTAACGATCGCACTGAGGGTCTTCACTGACAGACTCTTCATCATCAATTGATTATGTGTGTGTGTGTGTGTGTGTGTGTGTGTGGATGTGTGTGTGTGGATGTGTGTGTGTGGATGTGTGTGTGTGTGTGTGTGTGTGTGTGTGTGTGTGTGTGTGTGTGTGTGTGTGTGTGTGTGTGTGTGTGTGTGTGTGTGTGTGTGTGTAGGGATAAAGTGATTGCATGAAATATAATTATAATAATAACATGATTCTGCCAGTAACAAGTGTTGCCTGGAAGATATGTCTTGGATTCACTCAGGATTGATACATTGCCAAAGGCCAATCGAAGAATAAACGGTGAAACAAACATTTAAGTGGACATGTCAAAAGTGACAACTCGCAGATGGGCAGCTCTCGAGCACAACCAGCATTATAAAGAATGCAATATTTACGTGTATAAATATAGACAAGATTGCATCACCTTGAAATGGGGTTTGAAAAGCTTCACACCTTATAAACCAACCATACATATTTCAGAAACGTTCCCGCTCTGAATGTAAGTGACTCCAAAAATCACATTGCAGTAGACATCAAAATCTTTTGTTTGTTTGTGTTGTTTAACGACGCACTCAGCAATATTCCATTACCATTCCATCATATGCCGGGGTCTGACAATCCAGTGATTTACATCATGACTGTCCATCTACGCAATTGGGATACGATGATATGTGTCAACCAAGTCAGCGAGCCTGACCAGCCGATCTTGTTAATGGCCTCTAACGACAAGCATGGGTTGCTGAAGACTAATTCTAACCCAGATCTTGGAGACATGTACATGGTATGGTAGTAACTTCATATTCATTTGGTTCACGCAGATTGGTGTAATTACTAACTGGTGATTACCCCCCAGACCGGGCTTACTTTGCTTCAGCTCAAAACAGTACACACGACTTAATATTTCACCATGTAAGATTATATCCACTGATCTATTGTCAATAATATAATGACAGGGATTGAGATGGCTTTGTCTGATTGCTACAAAGGCTTTCCATGGGCAAGGATATCTTTTGATTTGCGTTGCTAATGGTTTGTATATTTAGATGATTAGCTCTTGATGAGGTTTCTCATACATCAGTATCTATTCCAGGCTACATCGACATTAATATAATCCATATGATACACTACTGATGTATCGACAGCTCTTGTCCATTGTATGTACCTGAAACTTGATACAACTAGAATTGTCATTCCAAAGTGGAATGTCGTGAATGGTAAATTTCTTCCTGAAATGTTCCAGTGTTTAGACATTCTCCTGTTGAATCTATATTTGGATACGAATGTGAATGCATGACACGTTTTCTTGATAACAAAGTATTCTTATTCTTCAAACGACGTTTCAGAGCTGAGAATTTAAGAATGCCCTGGTATTGCGCCATGATAATTGAATAAAATTGAATGTCCATCCACTTGCGAACCAGTCAAAACGTGAGGCATTTTGGATGGTGATTTCTTCTACGAGATACCGGTTGGAATCTATGAGGTAATTGGTGCCAATTGATTTCGACTGGCCTCCAGTCTAGTCCCAAAGCAAACTATACCATCAGTGAATTTAATCGTGTAAAGATATGTGTAATAATTACGAAAGGTGCATTATAAATGAAAGTGTAAGAAGCAGGATAAATTGACCATGTGTATTTTCATTCATAAACCTCATCTCAATGAAAATACCAAATATATACTTAGCAGCAAAAAAACCCGTCGGTACAAATTCAAAATTAGATAGGCACTGTAATCAAAACATTACAGAAATGGACATAATAAGCGGATCAAAAACATTTTTGTGTACAATATCTTGACACATCAATAAATTAGAAAGTCTAATGTGACACATGTTACTTTTGGGATTACACTTTCTCAGTAAAGTTCAGATTCTAGTACTTTTTGTGGGCGTTGAGTCCCATCTGGCATGCGAAAAAAGTGATTTGTGGAAGCCGCGGTGGCTGAGCGGGCTAGGCGGATGACCTTGTGTGCTGGCGATTAGGTGCCTGACTCTGAGGGTGTGGGTTCGAATCCCGGATGGGACTCAACCAAAAATAGTACTACGATCTGTACTTTACTGAGAAAGTGTACTCCAAAATATAGCACGTGTCACTATGACATGTAAGTAATCAGAAATATTTGGACAATACACTTGTCATATCATTTATGTTTCATTGTAACAGTCAGAAATTGGAAAGAGTACCGTTAACCCTCGTTTGAGTTTGTCTGTCATGGCGTCACGCCAGATGTAACCTGTAATACATTGTCCTGAATGTACCAAATGATTGAAATACATCTGTTTCAATAACCCCAACTCTTGCTTCCATTATCTTTTCATGCATATTCTCTAACTCATGAGCAAGTGTAGACACAGTAAGAGAAATGAGACACTGGGTAAATTTTGTCATTTGTTTTGTTTACACTTCACACAATGCTGTACAATTCACATCAGACGTATTTTGTTGATTTCACCGAGACGCCATGTAATGGTGAAAAGACTGTTTGTTTTTATATATTCATATGTATAAGGAACTCAGGGACTCGTGTAATGCAAGATGAGTTTGAATTATACATGATGTAATAGGCGTTACATAACCAACATACGTGTAACCTGATCGTAAAAAACACACTCCTGCAATATAAGGGTAAATTCGGCTCGGCGTTCGTGTTTTTGTATTTGCCAAAACATCCTTAAAGGCACTATATCACACAACACTTCTCTAAAAATAAATAATGCATTTCTCTACATAATACCAACTATCAGCCCTCAGGGAAGCTACCATATAATTTACCGAAAACACCGTGTGCGACAGTTTTCGATGCACAGAGGAATTGTTTATGGCAAGTGTTCTCTGTTTGGAAGCTGGTTGCCTCGAAGTTTCAGTTATCGATTTCAGGCAAGTCGTGTGGGATAATAAGTCTCTTATTGCATCAATAGGAAGCTAAAATGAGAGTATATGCCCCAAAACATATAATATAGGCCAAAATATTGTCCAAAATGCGTGACATTGTGCCTTTAAGTGCGATTCACACGCGAGTCCGCCTTTACCGATTAAAGGGTCATCGACAACGTTTTAGAATATTCATTGGTGATTTGATGAAAACAAAGTGCTCGTGGTCACAAATATGTCTTTGAAATCCATTTCTTATGGTGAATGTTCGATATTTAGATTATAGTTGTTTGTAATGCTAACGTCGCCAGGAAACCGCCTAACACGGTGTTTGCTGTTTAGAGAACCTTCTGATACTGTGTAACAACGCTTAGAGAACCCTCTTGACACAATGTATCGAAGTTTAGAGAAACACCCTGACATCGTGTACCGGTGTTTAGAGCAACCCCCTGACATAGATGTTTAGAAAAACCTTTTGACATGCCAGAGAGCTCCAACTACGATTTGTCGATGTTAATCCCTAGTCTGTCTTCCAGACTTCAGAGCATAAATTAAGATTGCCACAGCTCTCTCCGTTCTTGGCTCCATTTGGAATTATTTTGTAGATAAATATATTTTTTTATATTTCAGAATAATATAACTTTATTTCTGGGACTTAATGTCAGTGTAGAGGATTCCCTGTTTCAGAGGGGCGGTGGGGTAGCCTAGTGGTTTAAGTTTTCGCGCTTAAGAATCTGGTTCGATTCCCCACATAAGTACATTGTGTGAAGCCCATTTCTGGTGTCCCCCGCCGTGTTATTGCTTGAACATTGCTAAAAGCGGTGAAACACTATAACTCACCCACTCACTCCACCCTGTTTCAGCATACCGATGTATCGAGAAATTCTTGCTGTATTGTAAGCAATATTCATCCATGTATCTTATGAATCTATTACGAATGTTAGTTTCCTGCAGTTTCCTCTACACCAGATGAAAGGTAAGTCATCTAACAATGTCTTCAATGTACCCCAAACACTATGCAACGTTTTACACAGGATATAACCAACGTGTGTCGTATTCAAATGTTCTGTAAGTCCATTCATTGCTATGTCAACGAGATCACGGGTTCAGGATGAGATGGCAACACGATCGAAACACGTAATTGCAGAGTCTTAATGAATGCTGATATATACTTTCTTCCTGGGACTGGTATCGAATAATTAAGGCATCTTTCTAATAAGGGGTCATTCAGTACGGAGGATATCTTAACGTATACTCCAGATAGAAACAGAGGGAACTGATCAAGTGAAATATAACTTGCAATGTATAATATGACATTAACTAAAGTTTAGATCAATGTATGGTGTGTCTGCATCATAAGCAAAACATGCATGACACCCTGAGGGCATAATGTTACTCAGTGATCCAGTGATTAACAGCATGAGCATCGATCAATGCAAACGGTGAGAAGAGGTGAAATTGGGTTTTACGTCGTATTTGAGAATATCTCGCTCATATGACGACGTGCATGCGTGTGTATGTGTATGTGCGGCTGCTTGTACTAGCCCAGACTGAAGCTGGTTTTATAGTGCTAGCCCACTGAGATACTATGCCGCAGTGAAGCATGAATACCCCACTCAGACACATTATACTGACTCCGAGCCGACCAGTCCTTGTTGTACCCATTATTACCGAGCGCCAGGCAGGGACCAACAAGTACCATATTTTAACGTCTTTTGGTATGACGTGGTCGGGGATCGAACCCACGACCTTCACTCTCCGGGCGGACGCTCTAACCACTTCACCACGGAGGCGGTCTCAATGCAAACGGGCACGATGACATATGTCAACCAAGTGAGCGATCCTGACCACCCGATCCCGTTAGTCGCCTCCTTTGACAAGCACAGGATGCTGGAGACTAATATTTACCCGGATCTTCACGGCTCCGACCCACTTGCACA